CGGCGGATACATGCCCAAAGCCTGGACGGATGGGACACGACAGGGAGCCATGGACACTGCCTGGCGCTGGCTACGAGAGCCGGTCACGCCTGCCTCGAGCGGTGGCATCACCAAGGCCCTTGCTTAGGCCAGTGTGTGGTCCCCCGTTGCGGGGTCCCCTTGAGGGCCGGGCCGAGCTGGCCCCCCTGGAAACCCAGGCACGGGAAGGGTTTGCCATGCAAGGGGCTGGGCAAATTCCAATGGTGCAGCAAGTGCAGCTACAGGAGCAACTAAAGAAGTGGAGCCGCAGCCAGTGGAACTGCAGCAAGAGGGGGGGCAAGTGGAACCGCAGCTGGAACCACAGCCGGAATCACAGCAAGTGGACCTTGCCCTCGCTCCTCCGTCGTCCACACAAGGCAGTCGACGCTACTTCCTTCGGCCTCGTCGTAGAGCGGGGGGCAGCAGCCTTGCAGGCTCCAGATTCGAGGGCAATTCCCCCTCTGACGGCAGCTCTGACGGCAGCTCTGACGGCAGCTCTGACGGCAGCTCTGATGGCAGCTCTGAGGACAGCTCTGAAGGCAGCACTGAAGGCCCGACTGAGAGCCGTTCAGATGACAATGCCGAGGGCGCCTTCGAGAACCGCCTCCAATCCAGCGACCTCTCTTCACTCACCTCTCTTTCCTCGTCTCCCGAGCCAGCCCCACAACAGGCTAGCTCTCAGCAAGCTGGCACACAACAGGCTAGCGCACAACAGGCTAGCACACAACAGGCCAGCTCTCAACAGGAGGGCGCACAAGCCCCCCTCACCGGCCAAGCTAGCCGCGACTCGACTCCAGAAGAACGCGCATGCTTCCCACGAGGCATTCCTCCTTCCTTGGTCGATCGCGTCCATACATTCGGCGCCCTCACCACACACCGCGAGATCGCCCACGAGCACATCGAAAGCGTCCTCGCCGACCTCCAGCACCAGGGTCTCGACACACCAGACGGTCTCCTGGCCATCTATCTTCAGGTCGTCACATCCCGCAGCGTATACACACCACTGCCTGGCAAGTGGCAGCGGTCGATGCGCAAGGCGCTGGACGGCCTGTGTGCGTACCAAGTGCAGCATGGCTCACCCATTGTAGAGCTCATGATCCTGCTTCTGCCCAAGCTGGGCGTATTTCCCTGGCTGGATGGACGCCTGTCGAACGAGGAGCGTGACGACAAGCTTGCGAGTCTCGAGGCGTATCCAGTGCCTCAATGGAAGGCGCTGATCAGGGAGACGGTGGACCGAGGTGTGCAAACAATCCTGGCCGACTATTCCAATGGGTGGGATGTGCAAGATGAGACCGAGGCTGAAGCCTTTGTTGACAGGCAAGATACCGAGTCAGGGCAGCTGGACGCCTCATCGGACCTGGGGAGGGTGCCAGACCTATCCGAGTTTGGATGGGACGAGGCGTCAGACAGTGTAGACTCGATAGAGGGGAAGATTGACTGGGTGAGCACGTTCGACTCGGCAGAGCGGGTGGCTCTTGGATCATTCGACCCGGACATGTCTTCAAATTCCGAGCAGGGGGTGAAGAGGGGGAGCCTGTGACGCATCCCGAGCTGATTAGAAAATAGGCAATGCACCTGAGGCCTAAAATATCTTGACAAAGAAAATACGTATGCAATATTGCATTCTGCATGCCGCTGACCCAGCCATGACTCATCTCTATAAATCCAACTCAGGAAATACAAATAGACACATCTATACTCCCTCCCCTTCCTCTTCATAACCTTCGACACGCTGTGACCGGACCGGATCTTTTAATACTATGGTGGAGCCAAACTCAAACTACACACGCTTCTTCATCAAAGATGTCAACGGATATTTACTGTATCAGCTGCCTCAAACCCGTATTGACTGGTTTACTTGGGAATGTGATATGTGCGACCGTGAATCTGAGCATCTAACTATCCTTTTTCAAGATGGTGATACCTACTGGTCGCTTGACTGGTTTACTATTCCCCTGAACATTGAAGCCCTTGTGGGATATTTCGTCGAAAAGAACATTGACACCAAAGAACTACTGGAAAAACATAAAATTTTAATAAAAAGGTCTGTTGGCTCAGAACCAGACAAGGGACCATGGTATTTTGCCAGACCCAAACCTGCAAACCTTTAAAGCCATTGTTCATATGGATCCCACCATGGTTGGTTAGCTGGTAACACTTGACGCATACCCGAAGGTGGCGCAATGTCACCTGGCCGTAGCCTGTCAGCACAGCTGTCTTTTGTGGCTGCTTTTTGATTGGGTTGCGGTCTCCCCCGTAAAAAGAACAATAGTGATGCTTTGTGACATTAACGTGAGTTTCACGAGAAGGATTTTCAACCCTCAGAGACCAGTATCCATCCCTGGGTGTTCCCTCTTTTATGTAGTTGGTCTCGTTAAGAGCTGCAGTAATACAACCTCGTGTGCAACGACGATCCATGCAGTGTCACAAAGATGAAGGTTCCTGTCTTTCTATAAATACGATTTGAATCAAGATAAATAGTCTTTGGAGAAGCATATCTAGTTGGTGATGCCTTTTAACAAGTCTTTCATATAATATGGATTTCAGGGGATACTGTCTACCTCGTTTACGGAGCTACTGGTTCCTGCGGCAGCATGCCGTGCATCATCCCTTATTATTTCCGTAGCCAATGACGGCCTAGATTTTGTTGATGGCCATGTACTACAGTTCGAAAGACCTCCTTCTCCTAGAATCAATGGACATTGTGGCTGTGTGCGATTAAGAGTGGCCCTAGACACAATGATATGACCTAGAACAAGCTCCGATGAGGCAAGGAACCGCCCATTATTGGCTAGGAAAACTGAGTCAGTGACTTTAAAAGGGGATTATAACGCATTTTCGTATGCATAGTCTCGCTTTGACCACATTTCACACTAGTACTAAGCCAGCGGCCATTCTGAATAGTATCGAAAAGTAGTTGTGCTTCTACCACCCCGGCAGTTTTGATAAAGTCGGGAATGAGAATTCCGTGCACGATGTAACAATCTGAATACAACTTGACGATTCCGGTCGAAACAATGAAGCATAATTACTCGAATTTAGTGGGTTGAATGATCATGACAACCATATATTAAGTGACAGAGGATACTTTAATATCTTAAGGAAAGAATCGTATAAATAGGGGGGAAAGGGTATGATTTCTTGGCTACAAAACACTATAATAATTGCAGTATGAGTGGTAATACAGGGGGGTTGAAATCCAATGAGCCACCCCTCAAGTCTCGTTAACATATATCACATTCTCATGCTCAGCCAAGAGCCCGCCCCATCCTTTTCATTTTGCTCCAAAGAATATTACCAATCACATTTATCTTGTCAGACTAGTCCCACTACTTAGCCGGATTACGACACCGCCGGTACAGTCTAGCTCGCTAGAGTAGCACCACCACCAACAGTTGCTCCTGCAAGCAGACCGGGTGCATTCTCGTCAGGTTCTCACATCGCAGATGAAGAAACAGGTGGTGCATCTCAAATCATGGGCACAAATTTTTCTACTCGTGCCGACCCCGCCCAATTTGCGCTTTACTTCCCGCCTATTATTGCAAAGCGATCAGTCGATCCTTCGCCGAACAAAGGACCTGTATTTCTATGACACCAGATGTTGGGAATCTTTGACTATACAGTTTCGACGTTGTCTTTAAAGGATGAAAGTAGGTAATTGAAGACAGTTGTTATAGTTGACAACATTATACTTAGCTGTAACCTGTCCAAAACGAAATAAATTAGGGTAGCTATGATAGACAAGGAAATAACGTAGCAAAAATGGCTTGAAATGGTAAAATAAATTGCCTTTCAGCTTAGATAGAGGCAATCATAGAATGTTCAGTCATGGACTTCTCTTACTAGATGAGCTTCACCAGACCACTGCTGAAAAACGCTAATGTACAACGATATTCTAAAGTCAAGGCCCTAGACAATTTATTCACTTAGGTTATAATGAATCTCTTTTAGGTTCGTGATAAAATGCTCCGCCCCTCTAATTCCCCTTCCCCGTATAGATGTTGGTAAATGGGCTACTGATAATGATTAATGCCATGAAGGGTATCGCCTGTCACTGATAATGATGGGAGTCCATAACAACATGACATGGTCAGAAGAATAGTGAGTCTAACCGCTCACTACATCAGATCACTGCCATGGCGACTGGAGCTTCGGAAAGATCACATCAACCTATTTGTTGGAAAATTGACGAAAAGGAGTTGCGGTGAAACACAAGATTTTCATAGAGTTATGTCGGTCTTCCACCGGACAAGGGTCCGGGGTAAACCACCCTACCAAAGGTTCAACTTTTTAAAGTCATTGCAGATATACGTAGCTGTTTGGCTGGCAATCGGAGGCATGTCCGTTGGGGTCACAGTATCGCCTGACCATACCCTGGGTGACAGGAATACAAGTCGATTTAATGACAGTCTTAATTTTTAAAATAGTTGCGACGCCGTGACTTCTACAAAGAGAGGTTAGTCACCCAGTCTGACATTCTCATTACGGACTGCGAGGGCATCACCTATGTCTCACAGCTTCGATTACGCCAATCATGAATGCTAGACTTCGTGTAATATCCAGAGCAGTTTGTAAGAGGTAGGCATAGGGCAAATTGTTTCATATCCCACCCAAAATACTACTAAAGCCATTATGGCCGTGTGGGCATCAGAGATGCCCCCCCGGTTTAATGAGCGATTAAGTGGCATACTAACTGTCTTCTACGTAAATCGTATAGAATTGTTGAAAGAGCTTCTTAAGAAAGCACATAATTAACTTTAACTCGAAGATAGTATCGTCTCATTACAGGTAAGTCGTTACAGACAATAGGTCATATTGACCTGTAGCTCGGAGGAGATGGAGTCGAATGAGTGGAAGGAGAGGTGGTCATAAGGAACGCTGAAAAAGTTATTCGGAGATAGGGTGTGCGTCAAGTTTGAATCAAAAAGGAAGTAGCCGTCGAGTTTAAGTGCGAAGTAGAAAAGTTCGACAGTAAACACAAATTAGTCCTGGAAGTTGCTGCATTCGCGGCTCTTGTAGCTCGAAAGGGATTCTATCTTACATTGCACTTTCAGAAGACCTTTATTAAAGCCATTTTCATAGTCGCTGAAATCTCCCTGGTACGAATGGCGATTCCACATCAGCTGCATGTAATCGTACTTGAAGCCCAGCGGCGTAGATGGCTGCTGCGAAGCCAGTTTCCGGGCAATGTTCATACCGTCCTTGTATCCCTGGAAGTTCAGCTGCGATTGCCCCAGAGCAGGTATGAATGGAACATTGGGAAGATTCGAAGAATCCACAGATTGCATGCCATAACCACCGTAATTCTTAATGTACTGGCCCCACATTTTGTCAAAGCACCAGCCCCCCCACTTTTCGCAGTTCTCGTACTTGTATGACCAGAAAAACATTGCCGAAGATGCGTTGCGGTACGACTGAATCTGGGCTTGGCAAAATTCGGCTCGCTCAGCCGCATGGTTTGACTTGCTACCACTCAAGGAGCCAGGGTCCAGCGCACACGACCATTCGCCAATGACCAGACGGTTCTTCGTCGAATTCTTGAGGTTCATAAACCTATCAAAGTTGTGGCCCAGGACATTCTTCAGGATCTCGGGCTCTGGCTTGTTGCGGTTCGTAAATGTGTAATACTCATGGACATCGAACGCTGTAAAGGAATGAGAGCTCACCGACTCGGCGATGTTGGAGGGACCAGGTGGATTGCCAAAGTAGACTGGCAGGTTGGCAGCATTGCCACCAATGTCGTGGATTGCCTGGGCGGTCGTCTTGTACCACCATCCCAGACCACCCTTGTCTTCAGGCTCGTTCAGTAGTTCAATTCCAACGAAGTTGGTCACATCCTTAAGGTCATTAGCGATCCATACAAGCGCCTCTTTTGTCCGCTTTTCGTTGTTGGACTGGAAAAACTCGGTGTCAAAGCCATTGAAACCTGTGTTGGCCTTACCATTTTGAGAGCCATAGGCGCCATGCAAGTCCAATACCACACCAATCTCGTTGTCGGCGGCCATCTTGATCGCGCGGCGCACGTACTTCCAGCAGTTTTTGTAGACATCTGTCCAAGGTTCAAACGGTGTGTCTTTGGTGAACCGTGCCCCAGGTAGGTTCCAGTAGCCAATAGGAATACGGACTGCATTGATTTGGTATTCGTTGTGCATTTTGGCAAACTCGCCTGCCGTGATCCACTTGTCCCAGTGCTCCTCCAGGCGTGCACGGGCACTTTGGATACCCTGCGACGAGTTGCCATAGCCACGTAGAATTGCAAGATCTCCCTTCTCCCCATCATGCGCACATTTGTAGAGTGATGGAGAAATCCATTTTTCAGTCACGAACCAAGAGCCCAAGTTGACCCCCGACTGGAATCGGTAGCGCATCAAGTCAGCCTTCTCGCTATCAAATGGAGGGAACAACACAGGCCATGGCTCGGGAGAGTAGTCAGGGAGGATAGGACAGCTGTTGCCAACTGTGTTAGACCGAACGCTAAATGGGGAGGTCCATGGTTCATCAAAAGAAGTGGGCACAGCCGAGACTAGACAGAAGAGTAGTGGCAAGAGCCCTGCGATCTTATGGATATTAGACACCATATAGAGAAAGGGAGCACGATTGGCCACGAAGGACACACCCTTCCTTAAATAATTTTCTTCTATTTCTGTTCCAGGGCCGGCTGTCGCCAGAAAGTAATATACACGCGGGGTACTATAACGGGTCTTTTCTATCGTGTCTAGTAAACACGCGCAAAAAGATTCTATAGGTCGCCCTGACGATAGGTTAGACGGCCTGTCCGTAGTTCAGCATGCAGGTCCATTGGGTAGAACCCTTTAGACCCAAAATTGCACCTGTGTTTTCATTTACGTAGAATTGTTTCTTTCCGCTTATGGCTTCTCATGTTAAGTAAAATCGGATACACGTGCGCGATTCTTGCATTTATGTTTATGCCAAGGCTAGCGTAAATAAAGCGAACCAATCATATCATGATTCTCCACACAGAGAATCGACATCGCATATGGAAAATGAACAACGGTCAGACCCCTTCGTACATTCGCGCCTGGCCGGAAGCGGATGGAGCGCACATGCCTATACTATGGGAACAGTCTATACAAGGGATAGGCCACTAAAGGCCTATCTCAATCGGGATTGGTATCCAATACAGACCGTAAAGACGTCTTCAGCCAAGCGGTGACACGCAACAGTAAGGCTTGAGCGCTGCACTACAATAAAAGATCCCTCTTATAATCCATGAAAGATCCTATCTTCTTTTAATATGGGAAAGACGAAACGGTACATCTTCACCTTCTCGAGAGGCTTAGCACTTTAATATTAAAGATTTGAGTCACCTAAGGAAGCAGATCCTCTATCCCTCCACGTACTAGGAGCACAGCTAGGTCCTTCCCGTCTTACCGCATCATACTGTCCACCAAATCAGAGAATTATAGGAGGGAGGTCATGTAGATCTGTACTATATTTTCTGCATGCACACTCAGGTGCGCATGGTCTAGAAGTGGTGCATGGTCACATTTACGCCTTTAGTCGCGAGTGTATTCTAGCGGATAGCAGCTTGTCAGCCAGTCTCTAAATATGGCTAAGACAGGGAGAATTCAAACGGACCAATGGAAGTCCTAGAAAATTCGCTAAATACTGTCATGATTGCCATATTATTACGACACAGTGGATAGTATGCATTGGTTTTTATCACTCATAGATCTTCCTTATCCCCAATATATACACTAAGGGAGCTATGAGATGTCATTTGGGCACAGAAAGGCATTTTTAAGTAGTAATAGCTTGTCTGTCTTCATGGTTGTCCTGCAAGACTCACGAAAAGCTCGCAAGGCGCCATGACAAACCTCTCTAACCTCAGCTTCAGTTTGTAAAGTTTCATATTCTTGTGATTTTTTATTAGCTAGAAGATGTCCCAAGGTTCTTGATCGCTCATCTGCCCATTGGCAGGGTCAATTTATATGTAGCAAGGGATATATAGTGCCTGTGGGACGATCTTCGTTAGAGTCAGGTGTTCCCATTCTGATTGGATGGATTACAAAGTAGGTCCGCAGATATGAGGTACTTGAAAAAAAAGATATCCTAACCTTCCCCACCAGATAAAGCTGTTTGGCCCTTCGCGGAATCGCCCCTGTCGTCACCTATATGGCCAAAGTCGACCTGGAGTCTGTTTACGAGTGTCCAGTTATTGAGAATGATGCACCAGAACCAGAAGAAAAGGGTATCCTGGCAACCCTGACCCGTTTGGAGCGTTATCTTGATCAAAAAATTGGACTCGAGTCGGAGGCCATCGACCGGAAGCTTCCCGAGGACCGCCGACCAGTCAAATGGTACGAGGAGCTAAACATGGCACTCGTATGGGCCTCGGGTGTAATGAACCTTGCCTGCTTTGCGACAGGCTTCCTGGGATGGGAGTTTGGCCTAAGCCTGAAAGAATCGCTCCTGTGCTATATCTTTGGTACACTCATTGGCAGTTCTGCTACGGCCTACTGTGCCACGTTTGGGGCCGCCACAGGACTGCGGCAAATGTCCATCTCACGGTACAGCTTCGGTTGGTACCCTAACAAGGTGTTGGCCCTGGTCAATGCGATACAACAGATCGGCTGGTCGGCCGTAGGATGTATTACTGGCGGACTCGCACTCATTGCTGTCGCGGACGGCCATCTTTCTGTCGCTGTGGGAATTATCATTATCGCGGCCGTCGCACTTGTGATTGGAATGCTGGGTCTGCGTGTAATTCTGATGTATGAGCAGTTTGCGTGGATCGTATTCTTCGTCATCTTTATGATCATTTTTGGCGAGAGTGCCAAGTATGTGGATAACAAGACCCCGACATCTCTGTCTGGCTCTGAGTTCAGTGGGGCCATCTTGACACTGCTGGCAGTTGTCTACGGCTCCAGTGCCTCTTGGGCCACGATCGCGTCGGACTACTATGTTCATTATCCTGCCAATGTGAGCCGCGTCAAGGTTTTTATCCTCACGTCTCTGGGCCTCGCGATCCCCACATCCATCGGCATGTGCGCAGGCGCTGTCGCTGCGAGTACGCTGAATCACAATCAAGCCTGGAATGATACGTACAATAATGGAGGCATTGGCTTTCTCCTACGGGATATGCTGTATCCCATGGGATTTGCCAAGTTCCTGCTGGTGCTACTTGTTCTCTCTAGCATCAGCATCAATATCATGAATACTTACAGCGCCGCCCTGAGTATCCAGCAAATGACCCCGTTGTTAGCGCGCATTCCTCGATTTCTGTGGGCCATTGTTCTGTTTGGGATTATTATTGCACTGGGTTTGGCCGGCCGTGAGCAGCTCAATTCGTATCTGCAAAACTTCCTCAGTCTCCTGGGATACTGGTGCACAAGCTACGTGTTGATTCTATTGATGGAACATGTGTTTGTGCGTAAGGCCAATTTTGCCAACTACGACCTCGATTCATGGAACAATAGGCACGGCCTGCCTCATGGGATTGCGGCTTCAATCACATTCCTGGTCGGAGTCGTGTGCTGGGTCATGGGCATGTCAGAGTCATGGTACATCGGTCCGTTGGCTGCCAAATTTGGTGGCTCAGGGGGCGATGTATCGAACGAGTTCACTTTTGTGTTCACATGTATTGCCTATTTACCACTTCGCTATTTGGAAATCAGGTGGTTTGGAAAGTAAATGAAAGGTATTTGTACAAAATGACGTAGGTAGAAGGGTAGGGGAATGGACAGAAACGAGCGCCGCTGGGCATCCAAGTCCACTTCTGTCTTGGTTGTAACCCGGGTTTCAAACACAAAACTATCCTCTATAAGGGGTCTTTAAATGCGAAAGACCCCTTTGTAGTTAGTGCTATATCTACGTCATTTGTCTGGGTGGCAGACTGCGCCGCCTTTGCGGAAAGCATCCTGCCTTGTATTTGAGCGCAAGTCTGACATTGTGCGAATCCGAAAAGATTATCAAACCATGGGACCAGAAGTACTGAAGTTCGCTAGCAACGTCCGGTCATCGACGCCCGATGTCTTTATGCAACCGAAATCTCACGATTTATGTGGAGGCTGCGAGGTGCTTTTTGGTCAGCTGACAGATCTCAGCAACCGTTGCCACCACGAGTTGCCTGCTTCATGGATCATGCTCGTCCACGTTCCTATGCGGATGACTGGCGCTTCAAGCCGCCAAATAAATTGACATTTGTGCAAAGAATTCTCGTACACTCGTCGTTCCTTGCCCCGTCACCCCGCACGACCCAGTTTCCCCAGCCGGCCGGCAAGGTACCGGTTGTGCGTGAATGGCAGCTGCATGGGGTTATATTTCCGTGGGCGTTTGCCCCAGTACTGGTACGATGGGCAATTCAGCACTATATGCAGTGGACAGTGCCGCCCATCGCCATGTACATATTCCTGGCCGTCTACATGACCGTCTACGTAAACCACTGTCTCACGATGCTGCACGATCTATCTCGCCGGTACGGATTCTTAGATGGAAGCGCGTCACGGGATAGAATCACTCCTTCAATGGCACCACGTGTACTGTATGAGGCCATTTTGGCCATTGTGCTCCGTCCATTTGTCCTAGTCGCACTCGCCTACGACCGGCACGCGACCATGGAGGTGTCACTTTGGCTCCCTGTACAACTATTTTTCTTCACACTTGTTGCCGACTTTATCTACTATTGGGTACATCGCGCAACACACGAATTCGACATTCTGTGGAGCTTGCACTCTCTGCATCACACAATAAAGCACCCGGCGCCGTCGCTGCTGGCCTTTGCTGATACCCCCCAGGAGCTCTTTGATATCCTTGGTACAATGACGCTGGCCTATCTTTCTTACCCTCTGCGCTTCGACGAGCTGCAGATCTGGTTGCTGTACCTAGTGACGGTGGAGGCATCAGGCCACTCGGGCGTGCGCGTGTACATGCCAGGATGCTTGACGTCAGCGCTCCTGCGCTTCTGGGACTGTGAACTGGCCCTGGAAGACCACGATTTGCACCACCGCTACGGCTGGCGAGAAAGCTTCAACTACGGCAAGCAGTCGCGTCTGTGGGACACCTTCTTTGGTACATGTCTGGAGCGGGTCGAGAGCACCAAAGACAATCTCGATTGGTCGACACACGTTCTTCTTTAGTTAGGCATGTCTAAGAGTAGCTCAATCCCGGCGAGGAGCATGGCATCGTCAGACTCTGTCCACCGAGATATTCCGAAGAGAGTATTATATTCGGGAAGCGCTGCTTCACTGTCGCCGCCCGATAGGGGACCGTCTGTAGGCATTGAGGGCTCACAGCCGTTGACGACAGCGGAGGGCGCCTGCCTCGCGGCCCACATCTCCGAAGTCGTTGACCCAGTAGATAGGGTGTTCGTATCTGATGCCAACCCTTGGGTATCCATCTGCGTACCTTGGCAGAATCGACGCAATACGTCCAGAGCGGCTAGGAGATGTGAATTGACCGAGAACGACGATGGAAATGGAGCTTCGTCCAGGTAGCGAAGTGCATGGCGCAATGACTGCATAAGCTGCACCTGGCGCTGCTGCGGCATGGGGTAGTGCATCAAGATGCGCTGCAGCACCGTTGCACTTGTCAAGAGGTGCCAAAACAGGTAAGGTACACGCCGATTCGGATTCTTGGTCCGCTCTAGCTCTTCACGAACAGCGATAGAGACACGTGCACCCTCGATGCACGTTTCCACGGATAAGGATGTGTGGCCCGCCAGGATATCGGCCCCGATAAAGGGCAGGTGCAGGCGCAAGAGGCGATAGTGGATTTGCTCCTGCAGAAATAGTCGCTGGATCTTCAAATAGGGATGCTGTTGCATAATTGCCTGTAAGTCTGCATCCAAAGGGTCCTGGTCAAATTCAAAATACTTGGGTAGAGACGCTTGCACATGGCGGATCTGGCGGTCCATATGCACGGTCTCTTCGAAAGTAAGCTGATGCTTTTGCCGCAGGCTGCGCCGGCGTAGGAGGATTTCGGAGATCTCACAGATAATGCGTCCAATCTCGAGAAGAATCCGTAAATATACGGTCGGGGAGGGTCGGTTGGGATCCGCCAGCACCGTGCGTGGTAACTCTCGTAACATCAGCACCTCCTTGGGAAGCAGGGCTGCAGGAGCACTGGTCTGGTTCATCCTATCACACACGCTGTAAGTATAGTCGACATGAACCGAGCGAAACCAGTCAAAACGCAATAGAGCAGCCCAGATGATCCGCGCCAGCTCCCGCTGCGGCAGATCCATAGGAGACATTTCGTTTACCCACGGTAAATAATCAAGAATATCGTTGTTTCGCACGGTTCCGGGCGAGTCGTGTATGAGGTCATCGAGCGTGCTTCCCATGCGATTGAGTCCCATGTGCAGAGCAAGGGATATAGCTAGACGGTTCCAGATCACCACAATGGGCATTTCGCGCATGTTCAAGTACTTGATCGAGAGGATGCTGAAGTTTTGCAGTGTCCACAGTGTAGGTTCCATAATTATGTTGGAATTTTGGAAGAAAAAGATCCCCGCATCATGCCATGCATTGATGCGCGCCTCAATGTCTTCTGGATCCTGGGTATCGCTGATTCGACGTGCCTGTACTTCGGCGATATCCATCATGCTCGAGGCAGCATACAAGATGCCAAAGAGCAAAGCAAGCAGCCCATAATTTCGTGCATCCGCCCAGAAGACTGACTCAATCGCCTTGGCAGGCTCATCGGCGCCCAGTGATCCCACAATGTGGTGGACCGTGTCGAGGTGCTTGGGTTCGGGAAGTGAACTGGCTTGAGAGAGGCCCAGGTGTGTGAACAGCAAGTCCATATGTATTTTCAGGATTCCCTCACTCACAAAGCCATAGAGGGGATCAATCTCATTCACGTAATAATGGATCAGGTCCTCCAGCGTCGAGCGCGAAGGCAGTAGGTCCAGGTAGGGCTGAACACACTCAGCCCACGCGGCGCGGTCTTTGCTGTACATTATAGTCAGCTGCGACAAGCCAAAGATGGGTAGGTTGGTTGGCATATACAGTGGCACAGCGTCTTGTGGCTCCTTCCATCGGGTGGCCGTCTCATCCCGCTCATCGCCCCAGCGACACTGGTGCTGCAACCCTCGCCGCACGCAGCTAGAGCACGCCGGTACTTTCCGGTCACATCGAATTTTTCGAGTGCGGCAAGGAATGCAGCTGACGTGTTTGCGTGCACGCCGCCTCTTGGTCCCCGGAGGCTCACGCCGGTCCTCGGCCATGCACACGGAGCGGCTCAACTAGATGGCCTCCACAGTTAGCCTTAACTACTCCACACCAAATTTTCTGCCGTCGCCGGCGATGGGCACCAAACGCAAGGCGACGCCGGCCACTGACTTTACCGTACGTGCGCATGCTAACTCTAGAAAACCAAGAAGAAGCTTGGAAAGGGAAAGCAATTGAGCAGTAATGCTACGGATACATCGTTTAAGGCGAAAACCATCGCCATGCCACAGCAGTCGATTCTGTTGGACCGCACGCAGAGCGTGACGACGCGGCGAAGGCAGACACTCTCGGACCTCGTGCAGAATACCCGGCACCATGCACCTGGAGTGAGAAAAGATGCAGTGCTTGGCATGCTCGAGTTAATTACCACGTACGAGGGCCTACTGCAGGCGGAGACCACGACTCTGTTGAACAGTGTGCTGCCTCTCCTGAGCGATATTGACGTGCATGTGCGAGCAGCCGTCGCACGATACCTGCGCACGCTCCTCGATCAGATGAGCATGGAAATGTTCGCACCCTATGCTGCGCCCATGCTCCTGCTCACGACATCTGCCATGTCACACATCGCCATGGCCGTGCGCCTGGACGCGCTGGGCGTACTGGCGCTCCTTCTCGATAAGGTGGGTCCTTTGGCTACAGATGGCTGGGAGAGCGGCTTAGATACCTCCGTGGCCGCAGACCGGCATGGGCAGCGCATCCTAATGGCTTTTTTCGCGATGCTGGGCGTCGCTGCCGAAGCCCAACGTGCCAAGGCAGGCATCACGACGAAAAAGTCGACCGCCTCGATTGAATTGCCGCCTGCCGATCGCCTCAAGGTCCTGCGGGCGCTGCGCCATTTTTTGCGTGTCGCTACGGACGACACACCTATGCCCCGTATGCCTATGTGGTGCTTCCACGCCACATTCCCATCGCCTGGCCGTCTCGAGCACTTTCTGCAGCTCTTTGCCAAGGCGCCCCCCGCTGGCCCTCTCTCTTGGGTGGAGCAGAGCATGCCCTCGGTCACCACCGAGAGCCTGTGCGAGGCGCTTTTAGCCGGAGCACGCACAGAGCGAGTTAACTCATCCCGTGCGCTTGAGAGCGCGTATGAGCGACTGGCACATATCTTGCATGCCTCGCTGCTGGCCACGCTCTTAGACTCCCTACCCAATGTTGTTTCGCCGGATGGGTCGCTCTCGTCCGTGCATGCCGACCTTGTGACGGCCATCCTCGACGTGTACCTGGTGCTCTGGCGCCGAATCGTGGCAGCCTACTTGTCGGCCAGTGCGACGCAACGCCCGCTGAGCCCCGAAGCAGCATGTGCTCAGCAGGAGCAGCTGCTCGGATACCTTGCGCCGCATTTTCCCGCTGCGACGGGCAGTTCGGACAGCGCTCTGGTGCGATTGAATGGGGTGTACTGCGAAATGGTCGCACTGGCCACCGTCCTATCACAGAAGAGGTCGCCCACATCTAGGAACAAGGCACAAATGCATCTGGAGCCGGCCCTGGCCTATTTGGTATCGCTTCTCTCCACTGACGACCGACTATCCGACGAGTTGTACGAGACGCTGTTGCCTACTTTCTGGCTCTTTGTGACGACGCCTACCGAGGGCTCTGCCGATCTGCTCTCGGCATTGCTGTCGCATTTCCAGCGCTTGCACATGTCACCCCTTAAAGCACAAGCGTTCCATGTCCTCGCGCGCCTGTCCCTTTTACATACCTATGGGCCAGACCCCGCGAGCCTCGTCGCGATCCACCATGCGCAGGTCCGTGGTGCATGGCAAGCATGGTTGCTGGCCCTCCCGCGGATGCTTTGGGAAGCTTCGACGCAGGCTGTGTCTACGCGCGCTACGCCTGAGGCCGCGGAAGGGGCTCTGGAGCTGATTACACACATGATTGAGTTTCTTCGTCTCGTCACGCTCCAGGCGGACGGTGTGGTATTTGATCATGCTGTGCTCAGAAAGCTGGAGCCCCAGATGCAGCCGCTATTCTCTGTGCGCCATCCAAAGCGCGGTATGGTGCCAGGACCCCTCCATAAGTTGCCCACACATGTGCAGCATATGGCGCGTGCCCTTGCTGGCAAGAATGAGGCTTTGCCGTCGAGTAATGCATCTAGTCCATGATAATAGGATCCTCCCATGTTCCGCGCCCACGTAGCACAGGCTCATCGTCATCACTATCCAGGACCTCAATTGCGACCTGTTCACCTTGCATCTCAGCAAGAACTTCATCCACTTCGTCCTGCGAGGCAGATGCACATGTCTTGGCATCTTGTTGGCGGCGGAGAGCTGCCTCAGCGGCCAAGTCGCGCATGGGCACGGACGATGGCACCGGCGTGCCGCCCAGGCGCACGGGCGGCACTTGGCGGCGCACAGCCGCCTCAGCTGCAAGACGCCGCCGATCTTCGTACGTGCTTGGGAGCGAGCGTCGATGCCCACCAAGTGTCGCACCGGCCGACAGAAATCCTGCGCCAGGCCAGTAGCCAAGGCGCTGGGCACTCTCGTACTCGCTCGTGAGCGATCGTAGTGCCTCATAAAATTGGGTATCGTGAGGGCCACGCACGTTGTGTCTGTGTCAGATACGCCAACCTACGCTAGCTCATGCAACATGCTGTCCGTAAGCCAGGTCCACGTACGTGCGGAGGATCTCTTCGCGAGAAAGAAAGACTGTTGGATCGGCACTGTCTCGTAGGCGCAGGCAGATCTTCTGCCCTTGATTGTAGTTAAGTCCTAGCAGATTCGATTTGCGTGGGTATATCTCCGCGAGGATGGGCAACCCTGTATAAGTATCGCCAACGTACGCCAACCACGAAGCTGGATCAGCGTCTTGACGCTCTGGCCAATGTCCTTCAGCAGCGAAATGGCTTTTTCGGACCCAGGCTTTCGAAGTGCCACATACTTCTGGATCACACCACCAGGGTGCTCTTCGTGTAGGACTGGCACCCACGCACCTCGCCCCCGAACTGGCATGCCCAAGCAAGGTAAGGAGCCATAGTGGTGGATCGGCCGAACCTCCACATACGCGTCGCGTCGCGTCGCAGACACATCCGCTTCGCCCCACCATGGCGCGCCCTCGACGGAGTGCCGCGATTGCGGCGCATCGGGCCTTGGCAGGTACGTAGGCGATACTAACTGGAGAACCAAGTGACACCGAAGAAGAGGAAGTGGATACACCGCCATTGCCGACCAAACGCGGGCGGCAAACGACCACGTTTGACTCGGACTCGTCCCTGTCGGACCTGAGTGAGGAGGAGGCACCGCAGCCCGCGCCAAAACGCTCACGGACCAGGAAAACGGTTGAATATGCACCAGATGTCTCAGAAACTAGTGACAGTGAGCTCTTCCAGGCTGTCCTCGCTGCCGAAGGACTGGACGAGGCAGCCGAGAACTGGGTCATGGCATTCCAGGCGGAAGCATCCGAGGCTCTAGCTGACCTCATCCGCTTTCTCCTGCGTCTTTGCGGGTGCAATGCTACCGTGCCACAAGAAAAGGTCACAGACACGGAGCAATTGGATGCTCAGGTCGAGACCCTGCAGGACGAAGTGGCACAGCATGCTCAGGCAGCTTACCCTATCGTGTCGCGGGCCAAGCCCCTTCGAGGTGTTCGGAAACATGCTGCCTACCTGGTTGAAAAGCTGCTAGAAGATGCTGCAGAAGCAGATATCCTGGGCGAAGAAGACTTTCTTGACGTCTGGCAGCAGTGGCTCGTCGCATTGTCCGTATCGTCACTGCGCTCGTTCCGCCACACGGCCACAGTAGTGGCCCTCTGGACTATCAGCGCACTTTCAGCCCAGCTGGAGCAGACCCGCGAGCAGTATGATGTGGCAGTCCGCCAGCGTGACGCCGAGGCCCAGCGGAGCAGCAGCAACCGCACCCGCCTAGCCCACACAGCAGAGAAGATGGAGCAGCTCGATGCTCTACGAGACACGCTCGATGCCAACCTAGACGCACTCGTGAACCAGGTGTTTTCGCCACGCTCCCGCGACTTTGACGCTGCTATCCGGCTTGATTGCATCGAGCAGTTGGGCTCCTGGATGAGAGGATTCCCCGGCCAGTACTTGCAAACGTTTTACTTTCGCCATATTGGTACAGCACTGTCCGACCCTGATGTCCATGTGCGACTACAGACGCTGCGTGCTGTGCATAGCGTCTGCACATCAGATCGGGTCATCCAACTTGTGCCGCTAGCAGAAGCCCACAAAGCACGTATGGTCGAAATGGCCCTGTATGATATCGACTTGGCAGTGCGGACGACGGCCTTTTCTGTGCTAGAGTGTTTCAACGCACACGAAATGCTCAGCAACGACGATCGCGCAGCACTTGCAGTGCATGTTTTTGATCTCGAACCGCGGATCCGTCTCGCTGCTGCGTCCTTCCTCAACGGCTTGCTTGAACACAAGGTGGCATCTGCATGTGAGTCGGGGCAAGAGTCCGAATCCCATATACGCGTTCAGTGTCTTGTCTCACTCCTCGTACAGTATGATCAGGCTCTAGAGCACGACTCAGAGTCTCTCGATGCCATGGATTTGGCCATAGTCCAGCCAAGTCTGGGCCGCAAGTCTGTGGCGCTCGAAGCCCTCTGGGAGACGAATGAGAAACTGCATGCATGGCAGCCTTATCTGGATGTACTCGTGGGAGACACGCAGACAGAGCTAACGGCCGAGGAGGAGGGTGCTGCGGTCGAGTTGCTGGCCATGACAGTACGGCTCGTCAAGGAACACGACGAAGAGGCTTGGTCCGCATGCAGCGTCGCTCTGGTGGACGCTCTACCGAAGCTACTGTCCAAGTACTCCGCCGATGCACCGCGAATGGCCGATCTTCTTCAAATCGTGCCCGCTATGGACTTGGAAGTGTACCACGAAACGAGGGATATGGCAGCCTTTGAGTCGCTTTGGGAAGACCTCTGTGCATATTTCAATCGCCATATGGAGCCCAATGTACTGCAGCACGCGGCCTCTGCTATTCACTTGTTGTCCGCTGCACCTGCCGCTATGACGACAGCCTCATCGCGCTTGTTAAGTCTCAAGGAAAGCGTGCTTAGTCGGCTGCAAGACACCTTGCATCAGCGTCAGATTGCCACAACCGTGTTCAGCGAAGATGACGTGCACAATTTGCAAGCAAGCCTTACCCGGCTCCATGCGCTTCTCAAAACCATGGATGCCAGCCCTTTGCTTGAAGACGAGGCCCTCTGGGAGAGCGTTCTTGCCCTTGCCCGTCGCGGCCGTCTCGACTATACAAATGAGCTTCCCTTTGTTCGCCTAGCTCTCGAATCACTTGCCCTGGATGTTCTGTGGCGCACGAAAGAAGCCTTGTATTCACCCGCGTCGATGCCCATCGTATTAGAGCGTCGGGACGCTGTGCTGGAAGTTGCCCGTGTATTTTTGGAGCAGGAAACGCAAGCTCAAAGTGCGGCCGTACAAGTCTGTCTATTGCTGTATACGCTCTTTGGCACGATGCAAGACAGTGACGTGCAGCTGATTTGTCCCCCGGACGTACAGCAGCGATGTGCCTCCGTGGTGAGTCGCGAGTTGCACAACCTAGTGGAGCCCTTTCATGAATATAACGCGCCTCGCGGCCGGAAGCAGCCTGTGGCAAGTGTTCCCCCTGCCCTGTTAGCCAAAGACTTGTACCTAATCTCCCTCACGTCCACGTTGGTGGCCGCCATCCGGGCAGGGGCGCTACATATTTCTCATGCTGCGCCGGTTCTGGCTCACTACGCCTGGCTCAGTGCCGACTTTGACGCATTGTGTCATGAACTTGTTGCCGTAATGCGTGACGATGCTTTGCATGCGGACCGTGCGTGGGCCGTGTGCGAAACGGTACTGGAAGCCCTCAAAGGCAGTTTTGTGCTTGTGCAGCAGTACAAGGATGAGGCCAGTGAGACACATTTCGTCGCTCTCGCGCGGCAACTGGCGAATACGACAATGATCCGCGGGTCGGGCTTCTCTGTCGTCCAGGCCGTCGAGGCCAACGCTATGGTGACCCTCCATGTCGCTGCCATGCAGCAAATCATCCAAAATTGGCAGGCGGCAGAAGAAGATCCTACGCCTGTTCTTGTTTTCTTTAAGGGCATGGCCCAATTGCTAGGCACCATGACACCGGTGGATGCGATGAAGGTCCATTCGACGTTGCACCAGCGCTTCGCTGCGGCCAATATCGTCCCAGTGCCTGGTGCCAAGGGTTGGGATCCCTACCACAACTATGAAAAGCGGCTCTTGCATTTGGCTGCCAAGGACCCGAGCTTGGTGCAGGAAGCGGCTCAATACAGTGTACCTACATAGCATGCTAACCACCGAGCTTAAGCGAAGAGAATGTAGGGCGAAGCAATGAGAGAATGCTCTGCTCCACTCTTGCAAGATGAGATGCGTCCTCTGCCTTTTCTGCATGACCATCAGTCTCACCTGTCTCTTGTAGCTGCATGTCAGGATAAGCGCTGCGCCGTCGGAATTCGATGCGTGCCGAATTGTTGCCACTTGCGATTTTGTCCATAATGGCAGGAAGTTCATCATCGTTATAATAGACGATCTGCACAGGAAGGCCTTGATCATTCAACTCGATAATAGGGGAGGAGCTGCGATGTGGCGCAGCTGTGTTGGCAGAGGCTGTACCCACGTTGGATTCTACACCAGCGGCGTCAGTGGTCGCAGATTTTGTAAATATATCCCTTTTTCCATCGTCAGGCACATCTTCCGTGCTACTCAGCGTGTGGGTATCGTCGTCATCAAAGCCATCCAGGCGATGAAAGGATGCGTTGGCAAGGGATAGAGGTGGAATGGACTTCAAGACTGGCTTCGCCGACCGGGCCTCCATGAAAAGAGCCCGGCTATCTTGCTCCGACGAAAGCGGATCAGCCGCGACAGTATCACGACGGGATACCACACTAATGTCACTGGTTCGCTTATCAGGCGAATCCACCTCGCTGTATATGCTAGACCGATCATTCAAACCAGCCACCACTTGCCAAATCGGGTTGTTAGTAGTGCCAATAGGCTGAGAAGGCCGGCTAATCTTCGAACGCGAAGGATCAGCAAAGTATTGGCTGGTCACAGCAGCCCTCGAACGCATCGGAACTTCCTCTTTGAACTTGTCGTTCGTAGGTGTACGATTCACGCTTGTGTCATCCTCCCTAGTTTTGGCAAAATACATATCATACACACTGTCTCCATGCGATTTGCGAGGTGTCGAGGATATTGCGTTGGTATGTACCTGTGCATCCACCAAAGAGTATCTTTGGTCAGTAGCGACAGAGATGCGATGATTCTGATGGGTGTCAAGAGATGGCTCGTCAAATGACGGGAAAGTTATGACTTCCCCGTTAATAATGGTTGATGTATGTGAAATACGGTCGAGGTCCTGAGGAGTTCGTTGATATGCCGGTAATGAGTTTGCATTGTGCGATGGGGCCCCTGGCACAGGTTTGGAGGGAGATGAAACTGGATTCTTGGACGAAACATGACTCCCCCCACTCTCTGTCGGTGGCATGGGGCTCTTTCGCCTAATAGAATGAGTTTTAGCATTGACACTGGAAGAGGGCATCGAGACAGGTGTAGGAACCGGACCAACACGTAACTCCGTCGACATATCGGAGGCTGCGGACTGTGTCTGAACTTTAGTACTGAGCGATGTGGAAACGTCCGGGACAATATCCTGGGTAGATTGAGAATGAGAATCCATGGGGTATATAGAATTGTTAATAGAAGGCATAGCCTGTGATGTGCTCTCTTCATGGGGAAGAGTTGGGAGCGCATGGTCCAAGCGTTGAGAAAAGGCTGGTGCATGGGACTGAACATACATGATAGGACCTGGCTCCTTTCCAAAAGGTGCAAACTCCGTAGAATGGCCACTAGAGCGACCATCTGTTAAGGCAGAGACTGGTTGGACCAACGAGTGGGACGAATGAGTCAAATGGTTAGATCCAGCAGTATGTCTGGAACCTTGGCTTTCTCGGCTATGCGCAGACGTTCGGAAATCGGACGCACCAGCGATGTAGCTGGGATTTGATGGCATCGAACTAGTCTCGGGTGCACGCTGAGTAGACATAACCGTATATTCAGATGTATCATCAAAGGAGAAATGTGACTGGTCTTCCTGGTTAAATGGTACATTTGTTTGCGGTAGGTGCACAAGGTCAATAGTATTGTCCATATTTTGGGTCGTAGACACTAAATGGGGATTAGAAATAGCGCGCTTGAGTGACTTTTTAGATTTGCGCCGAGACAAGGACCTGGTCCATTTCAAGCTCGTGCTTGAGTCCCTGCGAATCAGCGTTTTGGCGGGCTTTAACGCCTCAGTAAGAAGTTGAGTCTTTTGAATTGCATCTTCATGTACCGCACCGGGGTATTTGGGCTCCGAGCTCGTTGATAAGTCAGGACTTAGTGTGCCCATTCCCCCGGAAGAGAAACTATTGTTGTTGCGATAGTTCGACATGGAGATAGCAGGGACACTCTTCGAACCGATATCCTCTTGCATGTTGCTCGGAGCCCGAACAGGATGCCGAGCACTTGAATAGAGAGCATGAGCATAGCGTGGTTGCGAGGGAGATGACACGGCAACGTTGCTCCTCCGATACGATTCACCAACGATAAAAAAGTATGCATTCTCAAGAGCAAGCACCATGCGGCTAATCGACTCTGACTGCATTGAAGTATACAGTGATGGTTTCCGAGAGCCACCAGTAGGAGTCTGTGTCGGAGATAATGGCTGGCCCAGGTTCATGTAGCCAGAACTACCCCGGAGCACCGTTTTCACAATTTGCTCTACACCTCGGCGTAAATTCTCACGGAAGACACCGAGCTCCCATTTTTCATGGCTTATGTTGAAGGAGCCAAAGCCATCCGTACCACCCTGGCCATATATGCTGTCAAATCCAGCGTTGACATGTTGCAAGTGTTGCTGCAATCGCTGGATCACAACGAATTCTTCATTCACGGACAAACAGGCATTTCCGTAAGAACCATTGTTATAAGGAGATGTTCTCTGCATATGCAGCACATTTTGAAGAGTAGTAATAGGAATCTCCTGCCCATCAGGGGCTAACAACAAAGATGCAAGCCCTCTATAAAGGCTAAAATGCATAGCAGAAGTATATCCCTAGGGGTGAAAGAAAAGAGCAACAAAGTAAGGGACGACGTAAAGGCGTAGATGAATTAAGATAAACAACTCAAAACAAGCTAAACCGTGTATAATGAAGTCGATCAAGACCTAGACCAAGGATACAACCGCAAGCGAAAGAACACATAGGCGCACGGGCTGACAAAAGAGTGATTAGTAACGATTATGAATAAGTAAATATATAAGACAAACTATAATAGCTTATTAGATACAGAAATTATATATTTTATAGAAAATATATGAATAGAAAAGAAATAAAAGATAGAAAGATAAAAGATAGAAATTAAATTGAAAATAATAAAAACATAATAAATTAATATTAAGAAAATAAAAGCGAATTGATCGCGTGATGATGTTTAAAAAGGAAGCATGAGATATTGGCACCAATGGTATATATTCGTAATGAAATCATATAAAATATTCGATGTCTTATATATTTAACATTAATATGATATAAATCATTTGATGAAATGTAAAAATAAACGTGATTAGAATTTTACTTTGTTTAATTTATAAATAATTGAATTTTTATTCATTTTTTCATAGCTATCTCAATGTTTCAATTTTTGCTTTCTATAGATATTGTTTATATAAATTTTATTTTGTTCTGTTTTATGCTGTTATCAGTTCTGTTTTATTAGTCATCTGTGTTAATTGACCCTGCATGTCAACACAAGAACTCTGTTCCCATCATCGGGTTTGCTGATGGTGGCCATAGTATATGAATGCTTGGCTGCCTTGAGCCTCGTTCGGAGACTCCAATTTGAATTTTCTCGTTTTCAGTATGAGGAGAACACTGAAGAGCGTGAGACTTGCACACCGAAGGAGGCACTGTTGACCTTTATGCAACGCTTGTGTGGTCATTGCTGGAATGCTGTTGGAGGACCGCGGAAACCTGGTATGCTCACTGGGATATGTATGGCAGTTGCAGCACAGTCTATGCCACTCCCTTCGAATGAATCGTTGATGCAACACTGTATGACCAATGAACCTTTCCGTGATGTGATTGCTAGTCTACCAGCAAACTATGCTCTGTCGTTATTGCCTTTCGTAACAATGCGTCTGTTATGCTCAAGTCCAGACTCTTCTCTCCGTTATTCACTGTTAGAGACGAATTTCCCCGCTCATCTGATGAGTTTCCTAGTTTCTAATGATGCTTTATGTGAGGTATGCGAAACAAATCTTTACTTACCTTAGGCCCAAGCCTGGTTGCATTTGTGGATTTCATTCTTGCTCAAAAATGGCCCTGATCAAATGATCCAAAAGAAAGCATACTTTTCTGATATGAATTCTAAAACGAAGAAATGGGTAAGGGAAAGTTTACAAGAATACTTAAAGACTCTGGCGATGAGACCATTTGCCTGGCTTCACCCAGACATACTTCATTTATATAAAGACAACTTATTTGACCCGGTAAATACCTCAGAGGATGTTATTTCTGGAACCAGATCGATTTTAACCGGCCTTTTGGAAGCTTTGCCGAGTTCGAACACAAGTCACATTGAGGGTATACCCTTACCATTGTTTTATGATCGGATGGCCAGAGAAATTTCCCAGAGGATACGCAGTATGTGGCTCAAAAGCAAGTCCTCAACTTCACAAGCTTCCAAGCATAAGTTGCAACAGTATATCATGGCAATGACCGAATGCGTTTGTGAGCAGGCTCTATTTCGCCATACTCAACTAACGGTGGTTGCAATTGAACTGGGGATTCTTTCAATGATCTTAGCCAGTATGCAAAAAGACACGGTCTCGCCCCTACAAATTTTGCGTGACCAAGAATGCTATGTGTGTAAGATGCGAGGTTATGAATATACTACCCATCGGAAAGTCATCTCGATGATTCTTCGTTTATACCAAAACCAAGAAGATGTAAACTTGCAGTCAGTGACTGATTCTCCCCAAAGCTCTCCCTTGTGTGCTTTGAGCGCTGAAGGTTTGGATTTAGGCCACACCTTCCTGCTTGTGTCGAAAATGATGCAGTGGCATGATTTAGCTCTTCCTGAAGCTCAAGCTTTGTCTGTATGCTCAGAATGGCTGGTGTCTACAGAAATGCCATGTACGGCTGATTTTTTCAAGAAACTATCAGCATTACAAACCAATGCTGAAGATCGCGCCATCAAGAATATGTACGCAACAAACTCCAAAAAGCAGTCCAACTATATCTATGATGATGTGATGGATGCATGGGTCTGTGTGAAAAGCAACTCAGATGCTAATAAAGACAATTTGTCCGCTGTAACAGGAGACCAGCCGGCATACATGAAGAGCCATGATGAACGACCTATGCATCATCTCGTCCGACAAGCTGTCGAGATATCATCCCCTTGTGAAGAAGATGAGATTGACTTCCTCAGCAAGAAGAGCCCTATAAGAAGTTCGCGTGTGTGCCGTAAGGTGCAGCGCTTGGACGTGGGCAAAGAAGCCCGGCGACAGACTCGCGCTCGACATCGGCGTCGCCAAGCTTGGATACCTTACCTATAGATAGTATTAGTCATATACCCCCGCACCGTCTCCACGAGCATATCAGCATCACTATGGCTAGTTCGCGTCGCCTAGGCAAGGTACGGATGTGATTCGATGCCTTTAACATTTTGCAGGAACTGAGCGAACTTAAGAGCAACATGCTGTCTGGTGTGGGTAAGTGAATCAATCTGCTCATTGTAGTTTCATTGGAACCTGAGGAGTGCGTTCTAGCGTTAATAACATGATCCAGGAACAATTTGTATCGCTGGAATGTTGTGATCCGAGGAGTACGTGAAATTCAATTGACCTATTTCAGCCCGTATGTGAATGTAATGTCTCACGACAGGCTGGAACGCCTTATGAGGGAGGCTTTTTCCCTGTATGTCAAAATGGAATCTTACAACCTAGCTTTCAATGGAATTCCCTCTGGACTACCCTTTCAAAAGTCCCAATGTTCATTTCAACTGCAAGGTGTACCATCCAAATGTGGATGAGAGTGGTGGTATGTCCTGCATACAAATCGATGGTTAATGAACAGCGATGTGCATTGGCATTATGAAATCTGATACTTGGAAGCCCTCTACAAAGGTGGCCATGAGTGTGTAAACCCGTCTTTTCTGACCACGCTGCAGTCTTGGAAGCTATCATGCAACTGATGCGAGAGCCTCAGCCGGATGACGCATTGATAGCGTCTATTGGTACGTATGAAGAATGGACTTTCGAGCTTAAAGCGGAACAATATGTTAAAGATCGCGAACAATTTGTCATGGCAGCCATAGAGTGTACTAAGACCCATGCGACGCCATAGATGTTTCTACGCGGCCGGGCAAGGCATCCATCCATCGCTACTTATCCTCCCTCGTACTGCTATTCCCTCAGGATGATACAACTATTACGTCATCCAGGATCGGCCGCAGTTTCCACCGGCGCGTATGCGACGTCCCCGTCAAATCTGACATCTAGCGAGTTTTCGAGTAGATTTACCTCCGCTTGAAGCTGGTATTGTGCTCTTGATCGTTTCGCGGGAAAGGCAATCGCGGATATGTCTGGTACGTAAAGGTTCAGAATTGGTACTCACATATATGCAGCCACTTATGCTATATACACCTCGCCAAACCATGCGCCTGTCGCATACCATCTACCGACTTTGATTGTGACGCCATATGGTACGTTAATATTTTAAAAAATGGATCTAACATACTAGGCCAGCCACAGCATATATTGTATGTGTTTGAACTAACGTTTAGGTATTCCTATGTTCATACCAACTACAACAATGAGTCATATTTACTCACACCGTATGTACGAGTAACTGACAAGCAGGTCGATGATGGGGGATCTTTGCGTCGCAAAAACAGTTCCGCCTCCGGGTTCTAGACGTCTCGGTGGGCCTCCAGCGCCACCTAGCAAGGAGAGATCAGTTTTCTGCGAGGCGTCGCGCAACCTACGATGGACCATTACCAACACAGGCATAAATGCACCTGTCTATAAACTCATGCTTCCTAACCCAGATGTGCCTGGTAATGATCAGCCATTGTTTCAAATCTCGAAACCGAATCCAAATGATCTCTGGTGGACTATGTTCTACTTCACTTATGGTGGCCATATGATCCCGCCTAAGCGGGTGGAATTTGGTCGTATCCAAAAAAATGCGATTGCGGGCAATGGCGGTGGGGCTGGTACTCGGGTCACCATTTCAGGTCGCACGCCTGACGAAGTCGCTGTTTGGCAGACACTAGGTGAGGGAAACGAGGATATGGTGGAATGGATTGTTTTGTGTGCTGCTCTCAACCTGATTGATGAAGAGATTGTTAAGGCCGCGAGTCGAACCTTTGAAAACCAGGTGCAGCAGCAACAGCCGCAAGGTGCTACTATGCACCGGACGGGCCAGCCGGCAGCGTCATCACCTGGGGCCTCTACCTCCTCCGCGCCCATGCCATTACCTGCTGGTGCACGTCCGCGCATGCCTTCGGCAGGGCCCAAGCCGGCCGCGAAGCCTGAAAAGAGCAAGGGCAAGGGCTTGTTTGGCTTTGGAAAGAAGTGATAATACAGCATCACTTTTGCGAGGGCTATTCTGATGCCATCCGTGCGCTATCCTCGTAATTAATCCACCGTTGGTGGAGCAAATGTGTCACCGTAAACTGTCCCTTTTTTCGTTCCTTTACGTAGGCCCCCGTATTTTTCTACAGACCGAGATGGCTTCCTAGGCCTTCACCGCAGAGCCTTTTGGGATTATCATAGTAGGGGGCGACTTCATCCGCAGCAGCAGGTGGCTGCTTTTCAGAGTGTGGTGTCCAGAATGTGTCGCCAATAATATCAACATGAAGTGTGCGTAGTTCAGTCCGTGGCTTGGCGCGGTGAGGATCCGGGATAGGCGACCATACTAGTGTGGTGCCTTTCCGGAAGAATGCAGGAAGCTTATCATAATTGATGCCAAACTGCTGGAACATGATCTCATGCTTCTCTGCAGATACTGTGCCTTTGAGGGTGTCGTGCGCCTCACGTTCTGACTTGCCACCTTGCAGGACAAGTGCCCAGAAGACAGTATTGTATAGATTATTGATATGCGCTGGTGTTAGAGAAGAAACATACTATCCGCCTGGCGCCATGCAAAATAATCGCGCACTTCTTTGTGTGTGGGATACATGACGAGACGGCCATCGAAGGACGGCGGATACTGCAGCGACACGTCCATATAGCGCCGCCAGGCAAATACATAGGCCGACGTGAACAAAGAGACGATGTGGGAGATGAGTTTACTAGGTCAATCAGGACCGGACGAACCTCTGTCGACGGTTGTATAAACCAGAATCGCGGTCAATCAAGAAACTGCGTGGGTACATGGCACGTACCTGTACTCATCACTTTCCCCAAAAGCCAGTGTAATGTGACCTTTAAACTCGCGCATAACGTGCCGTGCAGCTTCATTCATCAGCTCCAGCGCGTTTGCATCGTTCGGCTTGGAAAATCCATGTTGGTGCGAAAATCTACGGTGAGAGCACGAGAGCATACTTGTGAAATCCTTTCCCATCAATTCGCACGACTAGGAATGTTCGAGGCAATGCAACGTCGGCTAGCTCAAAGTCTCGCACGTAGGCGTAGCGCGAGCCAGCCATGATGCAAGCGGAAGACAGCTCCACTTACCCCACGGACGTTTCCTACGCACAACATGGATGTGTTGGCCAACATTGATCCGACTTCGTCGAACAGTGCGGCGGCAGATCCGTTTCGCCCCTCTTTCTTTGAGCTGATTGCGCAAGAGCAGCTATCGCAGCTGCTGAAGCCAGCTATCCGCTATGTTCTCACTGTGCTAGCGCAGCGGCACCCGCGATACTTGCTCCGCATCGTGAATCGTTTCGATGAGATTTATTCACTCCTGATGCTAGCTGTCGAGCGGCACTACCTGTATACCTGGAGTATGTATAGCGTGAAACTGACGACGAGATGCCTCCTTTACCGAGCACTTTTACGGCCTGCGGCGTCGACGTCGTCCGGCCGTGTCCACCAAGCGTGTGGAAGCCTCGGTCCCCCCACAGAAGCTACAGGCCGCGCGTCTACTGCGTCCGCGCGAGATCTATGTGTCTCTTCTCTTTTTGGTAGGCCTCCCCTATGTGAATGCCAAACTCCTCGAGTATTGGGAGTCTGTGGGGGGCGGCGTACTCACCGACGGGGACGAACTCTTTGGGGACGAGCCGCGCGAAGCACAACTGACGCGGCGAGAACGGACTGTGGAACAGGAGCGCCGCGAAAGATGGAACACGAGGTTCCGTCGCTTATATCCGTATGCGCAAGTGGTGCTTCAGTTGTGGATGCTGAGCTACAATATCAACTACTTGTTTGGCCGCACATCCTACTGGAGGCCCTGGCTTAAATACATGCGCGTTGATGTGCGTCGCGCTATGGGTAACGAGGCACCCCTGCAGGCAGGTGCAGCGTCCAAGCGTCTACCTTCGTTCACAAGCTTTCCCTTTTTGTTCTCGTACTTGCTGCTTCGGAAAGGCGCGTCGGGGCTGCTGGACGCCTTAAAATACGCGCTGCCTGTCTCCATTTTCTTCTTCAAGTTCCTCGAATGGTGGTACAGCCCCAATAATCGGCGTCGACGCGGCGGCGATGGCGACAGTGAGACGGCCAAGCGGATCGCGCCGCCTGCTGTCCTTCCGCCCAGTCTCCAGGGCGTGCTGTATCGTCCGCCGTCAGCATACCAAGCGCCGCCCGTGCTCTCACAAACACAGGTGGATCTGCCCATGGATGAAATGTTCGCCGATGCCGCGACACCTGCGACGCTCTTGCACAATGCATGCCCGCTCTGTGGTGTGGCGCCGATCCAAAATGCCTGTGTGTTGTCGACGGGCTATGCCTTTTGCTATACCTGCGCGAATAACTACGTGGACAAGTGGCATCGCTGCCCTGTGACCCTGGCGCCCCTGCCGGCCGGGATCGAGCATATCCGCCGCGTGTTGGTGTAACGGCTAGGTACGCTGCAAGAAGTATAAGTAGGCCATCGGAGCTAGGCCCGTAGCGCTCAGCTCGCCTTGGTCCGGAGCACGGACAACCTGCGTGAGTAACACGCACGCACTTTTTCGTCGCTGCGTCAGTAGTTCGTTCACGTACTTGTAAAAGATCCATGTATCCTCGCGGCGCACATGCGCAACGTACTGCCAGTGAGACCTGCTGTGGACATACATGACCGCTGTGAACCGATGGCTGCGTGAGTGATGAAGCACGTACCCCACGGTGTGTGATGAAGCTGGCAAGGCGGTAGCGAGCAGGTGCCTCAGTTAGTCCAGCGCGCGCCGGAGTGGCGGGCGGCTCAGTGTCACCTGGATCGTCTGGGTTCTCAAACAGCCATGCCACAGCGACTTCGACTTGCCCATGTAGGCGCAGTGCTTTGGCTGCCTGCGCTCGGGTGAAGCCCATATCCTCCAGCGCCGAGGTGTCAACAGAAGGGGACTGTGTGAGAGGAGTGTCCAAGCTCGCATCGTCCACGCGCTCAAATAGCCAGTTGGCGGATGCTTCCACATCGCCGTTGGTCGCCTGCAGGGCGCGCTGCGCGCGTGGCTCACTGAATCCTAGACCCGTCAGCATTGCCACCGCGTCGGGATCGAACGCGGGCTTTTCGTCGGCCTCAGGAAAAGTCTCTTCGCCGGGTTGTAGGCCCCGGCCCAGGTAGGGCGCCAGGTCGACGGTGTCGGAGAGGGGCACCGTGAAGGGAACGTTGACTTTTTGAGGTACCCAGTTGATTAGCTGAAAGCGCTGGGCCTGTACGACAAGGGTCTCCGGCAGGGTGGCAAAGCGTGTCTGCTTTGTGGCCTCGACGGCACAGGCACAGGCAGGGCACTCGTACTGAATACTCTCTGGGGCCGTGAACAGGTCGAGGCTCTGGCGCAAGGAGACAGGCTCGAATGCGTCCTGGTTCTTGTGCACGGGGACGGGCAGTCCGACGCCGGCCTCGATGGCTTCCTCCGAGTACCGCACGCGGCCGCAGCGCGTGCACTGCAGCTTGTGCTCCAGCACGTAGCTGAAGCTCTGGGTTGGGTCATTGTTCGCCTCAGGGAGGCGACGCAAGGACGAGACGAGGTGCTGGAAGAATTCCTCGGCATCCTGCTGTCGCATGCTGGCGAACTCCGAGTGGCCACGGCCCAGTAGTGCCTTGATCATAGCAGGCTTGATTCCCAGCGGACGCTCGCCCACGGCGTATCGTCCCGACTCGAGGCCATCGGCGACTTTGCGCATCTGGCACTCGAGGCACTCGGTCGGCGGCCTCGTGCAGGTGGCGACATGCGCAGGAAGATCGCGGAAGCGTTCTTGGAACACGGGCAGGCCGAAGAGCGCCTGCAGCGTCGACGCAAGGTAGCAGCTATTCCCGAGGTTCTGGATGCCGGTGTTGCCCGGTCCATAGGCCGGTACGAGCTCCTGACCGTCACTGTCGACCATGTTAAAATCAAACTGCACGTTCTGCTCGAGCTGCAGCTCCGTCATACTCTTCTCTGTTTTGCTTAGGGTGGCCACAGGTACGCCGAAGTGCTGCAGATGAGCGCCTAGTGCTGGGTCCACAACGGCATCGTTGCACGCATAGCAATAGACATCGCCCGCGCCTTCTGGTGTGATGGTGCCTTGCTTGACGCTGCAAGGATGCCCCGTTGCTTCGAAATGCGCTAGGGCATGACTGTGGCCCTCGATGCCGCCGAACTGGGCGCGACCACAGCCGAGGTGGCCGCACTGCAGGCACATCCACAGGTTCGATGTGAGGGCGCACTGTGAGCAGGATGCTTCTGATCCGAGGGCGGGAGGCTGCACAGCCTCCTGCGTGAGTGTCTGTGTGTGCTTGCAGGGGCGGATGTCTTCTTCCCATGCCTGCACCTCGTCGCGACGCGCGGACGAGGTCGCTCGCTGGATACCATCGACGACGGCCTGCATAGCTGGCGTCATGGCGATCTCGCGTCCATCGATGGGATCGCAGGCCATGCACACGGCCTTGTATTCGTAGTCGTACAAGTCCTCGTCGCGCTTTTCCACGACCTCGAGTCGTGTGACTGGCTCAGCAGGCCGGGGCGTGCGGCGCACAACGACAGCGAGGGCATGACCCGAGCGCTGAAAGTGCAGGCCTGCGTGCGCGCGTGTAGGGTCGCCTACACAGCCTGTGAGGAAGCAGTGCAGGCAGATCCCAACGCCCTGTGGCGAGTCCTGCCGTCAGTCGAGTGGGGCACGACTTACCGGAGAGTCAAAGCAGAGCACACAGTCGTCCTTATAGACGCAGTCTCTCTGCGTAGGTGCCCGGAGCTGGGCTTCGCAAGCCAAGGCATGGGGGCACGAGCCCGCAGCTTCGCTCGCTCGGCGCTTCATCGTCGAATAGAGCCGGCTGTCCGCCACGGACCTCCACTGAGCGTAGACCTACGTACCGTCTCAGCCTGCATGCTGGACCACCTCGCTATGAGCCAGCGCCTTCGTGCTGGAGCGCTGCAGTGTGTGTTTGATTTGCTCAGGCAGTGGAATTTCTTCCAGCTCGCCTGGTTCGCCACTTGCCGCAGGGACACTCACATTGAGCGAGCTGCTCTTGGCCGTGATGATCTCGGTCTGCAGGCCCTGCTCGGACAGATACACCTGGCCGCCGTCCGTGCTATCGATCAGGATCGTCGGCGTGTATCCCGTGACCTGCGCGGCAAAATCATGGCAGCGCGTCACTTCCAGGGACGAGACGAGCGTGTCGAGAAGCACGCTCGTCTTGGTGCACGACAGCAACGACACCGCATTGACCTTGCCCTTGATTTCAACCACGCAGTTCTGGCAGTGGAAGATATTGACTGTATGCCCGATTTCGGTGCCATCGACGACAATGTGCGGCTCGTTCTCAAAGTGCTCAATGGTCCACTTGTTGCCTTCGAGTGCCTTCACAGGGGTGCGCTTCTTAATACTCAGACTCGCGGGCTTGGACGCAGGCGCTGGCTTGGAAGGATTCGCGGCATCCTGGACAACGCCAGTCGTACGCAGCTCGGGGTTCTTGTGGGTCATTTCACTTGGGTCTACCTTGCGCAGCGAACGCGTAATCCCCTCGCCCTGGTTGATCTGGCTGAACACGGCATCCATACTCGCAGCGGGCGCAGGGATAGCAGCAGCACCTGGTGGCGGCGGTGGCGGTGGCGCAGGCGCAGGCGGCGCAGGCGCAGGCGGCGCAGGCGCAGGCGGTGCAGGCGCCGGTGGTGCAGGCGACCGCGACTGGTACGCCGCCAGGTCCTGGCCCTGGGCATTCCATGTGAGGCCGGTGCGGTGGTGCTCCATCACGTAGGCCCGCAGCGCCTCAAGGAGGTCCATGAACGAGCGCGCCCACTCGACATGCTTCGTGTCCTTGTTCTTCATGTCCTTGATCACGCGATTCGCATAAAATTGTGCACTGTCCTTCATGTCGCTGATGTAGGGGCCAGGTGTCGGCTCCACGGCCACCCAGCCGGCCGCCGGTATGCCTTCGCTCACGGTAGACAGATGGTTAAAGAGGTCACGAGCGCCGCGATTCTGGTCACGGACCTCGATCACCTTCTGGTGCGCACTTTGCAGAGGCTGCAAGCGCGATTGGAGCTCGGCTGACTGCATGCCCTGCGCAGGCTTCTTGCATGCGCTTGCCATGGCGACCAACTCGTGCACTTCCTGCAGCGCTTGGTGCACAAGCTCAGCTTGTTGCGAAACGAGTGGGGCCACCTGCGCACTCAAGGACTGAAAGTGCGATAGCGCAGGTACCACGTCCTCTTTCCAAGCGACCAGGGCAGGTGCATCGGGGGGCAAAGGGGCTCCTGAGCTCGCGGCCGGCGCCCTAGCGGCATCCGCGGCGGGTGCCTCTGCGTCTTTAGAGCTCGCACTATCGGGCTGCTCCAAAGGCCAGCCAGCACTCTGTGAGATGGCGATATCCTCGAGGCGCGAAGTAGCGGCCTCCAGCCTGGGTAAACATTGCAGTCTACGCACCTCTTAATCAAGGTAGTGAGGCTCCCAATCCCTGAGGCGGACATGATGGACGAAGGGAGACGGTACCTCCACAGGTGGCACGGGCGTGGCGCTGCCACGCGCCACGAGGCGCAGACAGGCATGGCCTACTATTCTACACAGCTACGTCCGCGCGCAGGGATGCCTGTACGGCGTTCTCCACAGCGTCGAGACCGGCTACGACGCGCACCTTCAAGTCCAGTAGCGAATGGAGGGCGTTACACATTTCGTCGTGCATAGCCGCACGCTCAGCGGCCGTGGACGCGAGGCCCTCTTGTAGTCTGGGTCAGTGGCACGAGATACGTACTGGAGCTGTGAGGCCTTCCACCGCGCTTCGGCCTGCTGCAGTGCCATGGAGCTTGCGTGGTCAATGCTGCTGACAATGCCTTCTTGGCGGATACACTCTGCACTTGACTCGTCGTCCTCTAGCGTCGTCACGCGTCCCACCTCGTCGATCTGTTCACGGAGCGTCTCCAGGCGCGTCTCCAGGCTGTGTGCATCGCGGCGCAGCCCCTCGATACCCTCGAGTAGCTCGTCGTGTGACTCTTGGAGCGCCAGGCGCTCGTCAGAGACCCGCCGGTACGCCTCATTCTCGGCCGCCCTCAGACTGTCAATCTTGGCGCGTACAGCCTGCATGGACACACCCGGCGCAAGCATCGTCGCTGGGTGTGCAGGTACAAGCTCGAGCTCGGTCAGTTCCATGCCATTCGGTAGTGACAAGGGCAAGAGTCGCACCCGCCGCGCGCCGACCTGGAATGTCTTGAGCCGCTTCTCTACCTCGGCTTGCTGCCGGGTAAGGGTCAGCTCCACCCTCCAGCACTGCTCGACTGCCTCGCGGTTCTGCAAGGCCACCTCTTCGAGCTGACGCACGAGCCATTCCCGCTCGGACATCATGCGCTCAAACTCCTCCTCCGACACATCTTGCGTGTCAACCAGCGCCTGTCGTCGCTCTCGCTCAGCCTGCTTGTCCTTCAGCTCAGCGGTGTGCTCCGCCAGTGCTGTGTGCAAGCGCTCAATCGTCCGCCGGCTCTTTTCGAGTTTGGGCAGCAATACCTCGTGGTGGTATTTCATAAATTTGGCCAGATCGCTCTGCAGAATACGATTCTCATGCTCCTCACGCTGCAAGGGGCTTTGCTTGTCGGTGAGACTGCTCAACTCGGCGTCTAGTTCCTGCTTCGTCGATGCAAGCGCATCCACCGTCGCGGCAAGCGCCTCATTCTTCGATGCAAAGCTCTGCGCAAGGCCCTCCATCTCCTCGGGGTATGTGTCCTGGTTGTCCCAGAAACGTTCGTAGCACTTCCAAAGGTACGGGAAGAAAAGGGCATGCAGTTCATTGTCATCGTCACGTTCAAGTGGGCCGCTGTGAGAGGGGCCCACAGCAGAGCCAAGGCGCACCATCCAGTCGAGTAGCGCAAGGCAGGCCGGCCAGTTCTGCTGGCTTCCAGCCGCCGTAAGCTTTGTCTTGGTCAGGTCGTCCACGAACGGGTACCGAATCTCCTTGGTCAGCAGCATCACTTCCTCCTCAAACTTGCGTCCGTCTACACCCAGTTGGTAGCCGGGGTCGATGCACTCCCGGTAAATATGCCTAAACATGGCAACAAAAGCGGACTGGGTAGGCTCATGAACCAGTCGTGAGCTCCATCCTGGCATCGTGAAGCCAGTCGTCTCCAAGAACAGGAGCAGATTGGACTCCATCGTGGAGCGCGCATTCTTCATGCGCAGCCGGCTGTCCTTCAAAGCAGGAATAGGTGGGAGTGTTCCAGGAGCTAGAGACATACGCCCAACACCCACAGAGCGGCGCTGCCCAGGCGCCAGGCTCATGCGCGGACGCAGATCGCCGCCCGGCATTGCAAGACTGGAGCGGCGCATCGCAAGCGACGGACGCGGGCGCACTCCCGAGACAGGCGGTGGCATCCCTCTGGACGATTTTGGCAGCCCGGCATTCGGCGGCGCTGTGTTGGTATCAATAGAGGCCAGAGTCATGCGCCGCTGCGACATGGCGGCGACCAAGAAACACATCCCTACGGCGCGCGTCCTCCACGACGCGTGTGATCACGTGATATGATGGCATGATGGCCCCCTTCGGGCACCAGCGTACCAGGCCGCGGGAGAGAGTAGGGCGCCGAAGAAATTGACCGTATACGTGCCAGTGAAGCAAACTGGTGCACTTTCGTAGACCAGATGGCGTATCACGCAGGCCGTGAAGAGTATCGACTACCCAAACTTTAGGTCCACAGCAAGTTCTCAATACCACAGACATAAGAAAAATGACCGTCCTGGAATTAAGGGTGTATCTAAGAGCATTCCTTGTTTGTCCAGATTCAAACCGCCTAAGGACCAAGGTTAGCACGTTCGCAAGATGACAAGAGTTTTTATAGCCACTACTAGCAATCTTTTCCAACTAGCTCTCATAGCTCAGCTGGAAGAGCGCAAGACTGAAGCCTGCCGCTTCATAAGTGGATGAACAAAGTCCTTCTTGAGGCCACCTGTTCGAACCAGGTTGGGAGCAATTTTTTTCTACCGAGTTTACTTTAGTCTCGCAGATCCCCCGCGAAGACAGGGGGAGACTTGCATTCGGCTGAACCCCGAGTAAATTCCCTGCTCTCTGAAGGGTTTGCCGAGCGAATAAGAGCGCTTCTAATAAAATTTTTTATTGTATACTGTTTGATATCATAATTTCCTTCGGCCAGTAAGGATACGTACGTAAAAAAAGTTTGGAAGCGGGCTATTCTCCGAAGGATGACCAGTAGGGTCCCAAACCGAATCTCGTATAAGGCGCCGAGCTAATCGGTGGCTCCCCCACCCTACCTTGATCATCATGAAGGACTTCTTCAAGAACCTGGCGGTGCTCTCCCTGGTTTTTATCAGCGTGACTGCTTCGCCTCTCGGTACACCTGCCCAAGATCACCTGCTTGCCCGTGCTTCGAATGACACAGTAGGCAACGACTGCAAAAAGCTTGATGACTACCAACCCAAGGACTCTCTGGATGTCTTCCCTTTCTATGACGCTCAACGTTCGGAGATGATGCGCTACCGTTTCCACATTGGTGTGAACATGGGCTCCTGGTTCGTGAACGAGAAGTGGATGAACGGCGCCATTTTCAAGTGTGCTCATGATGGCGAGCAGGGTGAACTGGCTATCCCTCGCGGCTACGGCACGTCGCTCGACGGTATCAAGAGTGCTCGTGCGCGTCTTGAGCAACACTGGGATACTTGGATTACGAAAGACGACTTTGCGCACCTAAAGGAAATGGGTGTGAACGCTGTGCGTATCCCCATCGGCTATTGGAACCTGCCTGAATCAAGGTTCCTGAAGGACACGCCTTTCGAGAACTATACGGAGGTGTACAAGAACAGCTGGAAGTACGTCCGTCGTGCTATCAAGTACGCCAACGACAACGACATCGGTGTTATGCTTGACCTGCACGGTGCGTATGGCTCGCAGAACGGACAGTCGAACAGTGGTTTCAACAAGTTCAACGTGGACTTCTACAATGGCGACAACCGCAACCGCACCACTGATGCCCTCTCGTGGATCGTGCGTGACCTTCAGAGCATGCCCAATATGATTGGTCTTGAGCTGCTCAATGAGGCCAAGAACGATGGCGGTAAGGACGTCGATCTTCTGCTGGAGTGGTACAAGAATGCTTTGGACAAGATCCGTGAGATTGGCGGTACCACCGCCGACTTCCCTCTCTACGTCAGCGACTCCTTCGCTCCCCGCCGGGCTGCCGACCTCGTCGCCGGTCGTAAGGACTTTACCGTTCAGGACACGCACAAGTACTATGCGTTCACCAACAATGATCAGAGTGCCAAGGAGATCACCAATGATGTGAAAACGAGTGCCCGTAAGACGATGGTCGATATTACCGATACGGTGGAGGACCGCTACATTATCGGTGAATGGTCGTGCGCTCTGAGCCCCTCTTCGACCAGCAGTGACCAGGACACGAAGGTGCAGGAGCTTTCCGACTTTTGCACCGCTGAGATCGATACGTACCGCAACGTGACTTCTGGTATGTTCTTCTGGTCATACCGCTTCGCGAACTGCGATGACAACGTCGGCTGGTGCTTCAAGGCTTCGCGGGGCAACTTCTTTGACAAGTACAACGCTTGGGGCTTTGACAACAGCGATGTCAGCAAAGTAGTGGACCGTGTGAAGCAGGAGAAGCTGGACCTGAAGCACGAACTTGCTCTGGGCGCCCTAACCCCCAACCCCAAGGATCTTGGCTACGCTGAGGGCTTCAGCTGGGCCAAGAAGCTGGCCACGGACTTGCCCGTGTCGCGTCTTGCCTTCAAGAACGAGTACGTTGACCGTCGTATAAAGAAGAATAGTGCTAAGCTGCACAATGACGATGACAAGAAGGGCTTCCGTGAAGGTTACAGGGAGGGTGTTGAATACATTGAATGCATTGTTCTGTCTTACAAGAATGACAAGTCCGACTCGGTTTGCGGCAAGAAGGCTTCTGGCGCCTCGAACGGTGCCACCTCTACCAACTCGAGCTCCAGTTCATCCAGCTCGTCCAAGTCTAGCTCATCCAAGTCTAGCTCGTCTCCTACCTCATCCAAGTCTAGCTCATCCAAGTCTAGCTCTTCTCCTACCTCATCCAATTCTAACTCATCCAAGTCTAGCTCGTCCAAGAGCTCAAGCCAGCGCATGTCCAGCACAGTGGTAACCTCGAGCGTGAGCGGCAAGACTGTGACTGCCACTGCCTCCGGTAGCCCCGGTGGTCAGATGTGCGGCAATGACGACATCTTTGGTTTGGGTATCTGCATCAGTGGCTCGGGTAACAACAACAATATCAACGCGTAAATCTTTATTACGACTCCATAGTCTCTTTTATGATAGACACATACACAGGCAGATGGTGAGCCATGAAGAGTGGGGTGACCACGTGCGTGCTCAGTTGCAGCGAGAAACGCACGGGCATGCAAGTATGTAAGCCAAGCATGCGGGTACACGTGCTATGTCAGGTTTAAATTGTCTAGTTCATTTGTTCATAGAATTCAATTGGTAGGATAGGCCGATCATATCAACGGCGATACGGCACCGGAGTAAAAAAAAAAGTACCTAGAACGGGTAAGGGAAACACTGATTGGTGCTCTACCTTACTGAAAACCTGTCCGAAGATAGTTGCCCACCGATGCGGCTCCAGGGATGCATTGGGAACAATTGCCCTGTTTAGCTAGCTGCGCTAAGATCTACAGTTTCCAACAGGACCGGGCTATAAACGGATATAATAATCCTGGGATGTAGATCAAGGATCTTTCCGAGACCATGCAGTTTGCTAAGCTGACGGCCATTCTCGCCCTCGTGGTGGCAGGTGCCGCTGCTAATCCGTTGCCTTTCGGTAACGAGCTGGTCGAGCGCAACAACGGCGGCTCGTGCCCTCCTCCGCACACAGTCACTGTGACTGTGACGGCCGCCCCGTCGGCGAGCCACTCGCACCAGGCCTCGTCCTCGCACCAGGCCTCGTCCTCGCACCAGGCCTCGTCCTCGCACCAGGCCTCGTCCTCGCACAAGGCTTCGTCTTCGCACAAGGCTTCGTCTTCGCACAGTGCCAGTTCGACTCACAAGGCCTCTTCCACGCACAAACCATCCTCGACCGCGACAGTGACGTCGACGTCTCCGTCAAAGTCCGCTACGTCTGCCCCTTCGTCTCCTGATGTGGTCACCACGACCGTGAGCGGCAAGCCTGTGACGGTGACTGCCACGGTGACGATGAACGGCCAGCGCTGCGGTAACGACGATATCTTCGGTATTGCCATCTGCATTGAGAACTCTGGTAACAACAACAGTGTCCAGGCGAACTAATATGTTGATCGACTAGCATTTTAGCTATGTAGGCCTTTTGTTATGTGATTTGTTGCGGGCAATCGGGATCCCAAGCTTCCAGCTTGGCACGATAGACGGCAGCGCAGTGTCTTCGGTGAATCGTCATCAGATCATGGCAGTACTATAAAGGGTATGAAAGCAGCTAAAAGTCCTCTTCGAGGCTAAACGTGTGGGCACTGGGGTTCTGCACCGTCTCTTCGTCCTTGGCCACGCCGGCCTTGGCATAGTCGGCAACGCGGCGCTCGAAAAAGTTCGACTTGCCCTGGAGCGAGATGTTCTCCATAAAGTCGAAGGGGTTCGTCGAGTTGTAGTGCTTCGGGTTGCCGAGGTTGACGAGCAGGCGGTCCGCCACAAACTCAATGTACTGGCACATGAGGCGCGCGTTCATGCCGATCAGCGAAACAGGCAAGGCGTCAGTCAAAAAGTCCTGCTCAATGGCCACAGCCTCGGTGATGATGCGGTTCACTGTGTCAGGGTGCGCACGCTTCTTCAGGTGGCTGAACAGGAGACAGGCAAAGTCGGTGTGCAGGCCCTCATCGCGCGAGATGAGCTCGTTCGAGAACGACAGACCAGGCATGAGGCCGCGCTTCTTGAGCCAGAAGATGGAGGCAAACGAGCCCGAGAAAAAGATGCCCTCGACGGCGGCAAAGGCCACAAGGCGCTCCGAGAACGAGGCGCGCCTGTCCGAGATCCAGCGCAGGGCCCACTCGGCCTTCTGCTTGACGACGGGGATCGTCTCGATAGCGTTGAAGAGAAACTCACGCTGCTCCGGCTCGCGGATGTACGTGTCGATGAGGAGCGAGTACGTCTCCGAGTGGATGTTCTCCATCATGATCTGGAAGCCGTAGAAGCAGCGGGCCTCGGCGGCCTGCACCTCGGCGCTGAAGCGCTCGACCAGGTTCTCGTTGACGATACCGTCCGAAGCAGCAAAGAAGGCCAGGACGTGGCTCACAAAGTGGCGCTCATTGTCGTTCATGCGGTGGTCCCAGTCGTGCAAGTCCTTCGAGAGGTCCATCTCCTCGGCGGTCCAGAACGAGGCCTCGGCCTTCTTGTACATCTGCCAGATCTCGTGGTAGCGGATCGGGAAGAGGACAAAGCGCGACTTGTTCTCCTTCAGCAGCGGCTCGTCCTCCTCGGCAAGGTCGACCTCGCCGACAAACTTGCCGTACAGGTAGTCGTCCGTGGCTGGCTCAGCGGCCGCCTCCTTGGGCTTGAGGGCCATCCTGGTCTTGGTAGGCGACGCACTCATGTCAATCTTGGCTAGGTCGGCTGCCACTTGCTTCGAGGGAGTTGCAGAAACAGACATCGGGGGAGGGATGGAACGCAGGAGCCTGACGCGCGGCGAGGTTTATATGTGGCAAATCCGCCGGTGGCACAGTGGATCGATGAATTGATCGCATGAGGGGCGCGACGCGCCTGGGCATTTTATTTTCAAAAAAATCTTCGCACTTGCCCCGACGCAGCACCCGCAGCCAACCGCAGACCGCAAACGCGCCATTCCATCATCTACGCGTGACGCGCAAACGCGCGACAGTCGATATAAGTCTTGGCCCCGCGTGCTGCCAGCATGCATCGCCGTGCCTAACGGGTCCGCGTGGCTGCGTTCCGTACATGGCACGGATCAGATGAACGCGCGTGTCCTATGCATGACGCGTCTCCCTATATAGGCGCGTTCCACAGCGCGCTACGAGAACACATGGCCTGCGCCACAGTCCGCCAGGGCGGAGCCGAAGCACCCAGCCGCCAATGCTGTGGCCCGGTGCGGCGACCCCGTCCATAGAAACTCGCCGTCCAGGACGCGCCGCAGCATCGCATACGCCTGGGTCGTGGCATAAGGCAAGCCCGTATGTGGGTCGCGGTAGCGCGCCGGCAAACCCGTAATGACACACAGGCTCTGGCGCGGTCGGAACGGGCGGTTACGCGATGGCACGATCGGGAGCCGGTCCCATGCGCAGTGATCCCCTAGCAGGTAGCGGAACTCGTCCACCCACGTAGTGGTTGGCTCCATGTTTTGCAATGTCAGTATGGTGCGGCCAGTGATGTCGCCGGCGCCGGGATCCGCCAGGCCGGGGGCGCTGACGCTCAGGACCTCGGACTCGCTGGGAGGGGTATCGGTAGCGGTCGGCTCGGCTTGGGTGACGAGCACGCGCGAGGCTGGCGCGGAGGCACTCGCCCGCAGAGGCTCTGGGGTCTCGGCAGACCCTTGGGAGGGTGTCTCGGTCGGTTCTTGGGAGGGTGTCTCGGTCGGTCCTTGGGCAGGCGCCTCCGCAGGACAACGAGTAGGTGTCTCGGACGGCCCTTGAACAGGTGTCTCGGACGACCCTTGGCCAGGTGTCTCGGACGACCCTTGGCCAGGTGTCTCGGACGACCCTTGGCCAGGTGCCTCGGACGACCCTTGGCCAGGTGTCTCGGGAGACCCTTGGCCAGGTGCCTCGGACGACCCTTGGCCAGGTGCCTCGGACGACCCTTGGCCAGGCACCTCAGGGCCACTAGTAGATGTTTCTGACGACCGTTGAGCAGGCCCTTGGGCAGGTATCTCGGACGACTGTTGTGCAGGCACCTCGGAAGGCGCTCGAGCAGGCGCCTCCTGAGGAAGCAGCGCAGGCTCTTCCTTGGGACCTGCCAAGGAGGCCCCCGCAGGCCCCATAGGACCTGGCGCCTCCGGACGAGGCTGCGCAGGCCCGTCCTGCGGCTGCACAGGCTCAGCACCCTCGGTCTTTGCGCGGGCCTCGTGCTCGTGCGCGCGCATGGCCCAAATGTTCTGCGGCAGTCCCACACTGATCCACCGCACAAAGGGCCCCTGGATCTCCTTCTTGGTAGACTGTCGCTGCCGAGCCTTGCGCTCCTCCTCGCGCTCGAGAAAGTGCAAGAGGCTCTCTGTGTTGGTTTCCTCGGTCTCGAGGGCCTCGCGGATGAGCATATCCTGCGTCAGCTGCTTGGCCCGCTTCACCGGCCGCGCCTTGGCCGACGCACGCCGGGCCTCGGCCTCCTGGAGCTTGCTCTGCGTCGCGAGCTTGCTCACAACAGTGGCACGCCGCGAGCTGCTGCGCACGCTGCCCTGCGTACCTGCCGCGCTGGGCCGCGGCGCGGGTGGCGGACGCGCCGCCCGCCGCGGCGCCGGCGCACTCACCACCGCCGCGAGAGAGCGCACAGCCGGCCGCCGCGCAGCCTTGGCCTGCCGTTTCTCTTCGCGGGCGAGCGACTCTTCCGCTTCCTCATCCTCGCCGCTCTCCTCCTCGCTGCTGTTGCCATCAAAGTCCGAGTCGACATAGTCGGGCTCCTCTGCCGGTCAGGCGCCAGCACGTACCGTCGCGCGCCTCAAACTCGACGTCATTCTCTGCCTCGACGAACAGGTCGTCCTCCTCGAGCGCCTGCTCCAGCAGGTCGCGCATGCGGTTGCCCGCCGTCGCCCGACGGGCACGCTCCTGGACGAGCATGGTGGAGGCAAGTCTACGGTCCGCGGCTCGAAGCCAGCATCGCGGCGCGCAGGGGGCTATGGTCGCGTGCGAGCAAGGCGAGCTGGAAGGGGGGGAACACGGCCGCGCTGTGCTCCTGCGCACGTCGCGAGGGCACCTTGTAGCCCCGAGCGCGCACGAACGCCGTCGCGGGATGGTCCAGCGGCATCGGGACGCGGCGGGCGTGCAGCGACGCCCACGCGACGGTGGCGTGCTGCGCGGCGCGCAGCAAGAGGGGCTCGGGCACACTGCCCTGTGCCACGAGGATCGCATAGTTCAGCTGCGCCGCCAGGAGACCGCGCCGCGAGCGGTCCAGCAGGGGCGAGCGGTGCGGCGGCACGTCGGACCATGAGCGGCACGCCAGCAGGCCCGCGAGCTCGTGCGCCAGGGACCGGTACGCCTGCTGCAGCGGCTCGGGCAGTGCCGCGACTCGCTGGCCGATCGCCTGCAGCCGCACTAGTGCCGTGTCCGCGAGCGCCTCGTTGCGCGTGCTGAGCAGCGCGCGGACCCCCTCGAGGTACAGCTGCACGTCAATGTGCAGGCGCAGCACGGCGGGATCGAGCGGCCGCTGCATCGCCGCGGCCTGGGCCGGCGCCGCGGGCGCCCCGACCCGTTGCGTCGGCGCGCCGCCCGCGGCGCGGGGCGCCCGGTCCTCGGCCAGCACCGCCGGAAAGGCGTCCTCACACTGGCGGCGCGCCTCCTCGATATCGCCATGCCGCACGAGGGCCAGGATCTCTGGCGTCAGTGCTTCGCCACATACGCTGCCGCACACGCATCCGCTGCACCTCCGCCGGCGGCAGGTGCGGCGCGCGCGCGATCGGCGCCACATCGCGTGCGTACGCCTGGGCCGCGCGTGTGTGTCCCTGGAGCACGAGGTACTCGAGCACCAGGCGCGCGGTCGGGTGCCGCGCCGCGACGACCGGCAGCGCCTCGGCGGGTGTCCGGCCCTGATCGAGGCGCATGGCAACGTGGCCTCTCCACCTCCATGACCCACCGGTGGCAGCGGACGCACCGCTCCATCAAGATCCCGAATGTGAAGCTGCGGCCGGTCCCGCCGCGCGTGCCGTCGGAGGCGGACGCCGCGGGCGCGGAGGACGACGCGCATTTCCGCGCGCTCCGCGACCGCGGCGCGACGCGCGGCGCGCATGCCGTCGCGGACTTTTGCGGCGACGCGTTGACGCCGCTGCGGGGCACGGTGCTGAGCTTCACGGGCATCGCCGAGAAGCGCGAGCTCACCGAGATGGCCGAGCAGCTGGGCGCGCGCGTGTGCGCGAACCTCACGAGCGACGTGACGCACCTCGTGGCGCGGGCCCCCGGCTCGGCCAAGTACCATGCCGCGGTGCAGTTCCGGATGTGGGTCGTGCGCCCCGAGTGGCTGCACGCGGTGCGCGAGGCGTGGCTCGCAGGCGAGGACCACGTCGACATCGACCAGCTCGCGACCGAGTGCCGCCTCGGCGCCCTCGAGGGCCTCACCGTCGCGCTCACCGGCGTGCACGCGCAGGCGCGTGAGGCGCTCGAGCGGCGCATCACGGCGCTCGGCGCGCTCGTCGCGCCCAAGCTCGTGTGGGACGGCTCGATCACGCACCTCGTGTGCGTCGGCGACGACGCGGAGCGCCCGCGCCGCGGCCTGGCCAAGGTCCTGGCTCTGCGGCAGCCGGGCGAGCAGACGAACCTAGAGCACACGCGCGCAGCCCTGCAGATCCGCCTCGTGCACGGCGCGTGGGTCGACGACTGCGAGGCCACGGGCGTGCTCGTCCCGGAGGCCGAGTACGACGCGCTGCAGCCGCTCGCGGCCGACGCGCGCGCCGCGCGCGTCGCGGCGCTCACAGCGCGCCCCCTCGTACGCACACAGAGCGCGCCGGCGCCCCAGGAGGCGCCAGCGCGCGCGCGGTCGCCGNGCGCCCGAGGTGCCGGCGCCCGCGGAGCCAGCGCCCGAGCCAGGGGCGCCGCAGGTGTGGTACGACGACCCCGCGGCGCGGCGTGAGCAGACGCGGCTGCTCGCGCTCGTGGACGAGCTGGCCGCCGAGCGGCCGTCGAAGCGCGCGCGCTAGCGCAGGGCCGTGGGCGCCCACTGGAGGCACCCGACACGGACCCACTGCGCGCGCGCGCTGATGTCGCCGAGGTCCGACGCGGGGGCGGCCACGGCGCACGCGCGCTCCTCGCCGAAGATGCTGCGCTCGTACATGCCGGCGAGGTGCGACGCCGGGTCGGGCACCAGGCCGCGTGTGCGTGCAGCGAGGAAGAAGCGCTCCGTCGCGGGCCGCCCCGTGTGGTAGCCTGCGACGACGAGGCACCGCGCGTCTGGCCGGCGCGCGAGCAGCGCGCAGATCGAGTCGAGCAGGTTCTCGTGCTGCGACGATACCCATAGCACATCGGCAGCGAGGACAACGTCGTAGGGCCCGCCGTGGGCCGCGCATGCGCGCTGGGCGTGCGCGTCGTTGCCCCATGCCAGGCCCTGCACCTGCAGGGGCAGCGCGTGCGGCGCGCGCGCCTGGAGCGCCGCCGCATTGCGCTCGAGCGCAGCGAGGATGTGGGCGTCGGGGTAGTCGGTCACGGTGCACTGCGTCAGCGGCGCCGACGTACCTGGGCGGCCCCGCACGCCGCGGCCGCGAGCGATGGGAGGCCGGTGCCCGCGCCGAGCTCGACGACTGCGCGGCCCCGCACATCCACGGGCGCGTGTGCGACGAGGAGGTCGGCCAGGAGGACGCCTGCGTCCCACTGGTGGTGCGCAAAGAGGCGCGTGTTCGCGCTGCTTGCCTCAGGGATCCAGTACGCGAGGGCGCGCGGCGTGTCGGGCGCGTCGGCGCACCAAGCAGGCAGCGCCGCGTTCTCGTAGCGGCCGGCGCTGCCGGGGTCGCCGCGCGCGGGCTGGTGGTGCGCAAAGAGCGTGAACAGCGCGTCCTCAAACACGTCCACGTCCGCCATGGCAGGAGGCAGGAATTGGGCGCATTTCTCTATCACGTGCTACTCGTCTGCCGCCTCGTCCGACTCGGCGTCGTCGTCGACCTGGACGTCGCCGGCGCGCTCTGCCTCTTCGTCGAGGGAGCGCGGCGCGACGGGCTGCGCGTGGTGCGATGCATACGTATCGAGGCGCCGCAGGCGGTCGCCAAAGGCACGCCGCACGCCCGCGCTCGCCAGCGTGTCCCACAGGTGGAGCTTGCCGGCCGAGCCGGCCGCCGCCACGGTCAGCGGGTCGTTCGGCGAGAAGCTCGCGGTGAACAGCTTGCCAATGCCCAGCTCGCGCGCCGTAACGAGGTTGATGCTCCGCGGCGTGTCGGCGCCCTCGTCGTCCACACTCCACAGCTTCACGTGCCGGTCCGTGCCGGCCGTCAGCCAGCAGCCTGGGATGTGGGGGCTCACGTCCAGGGCCGTGCAGGCGCCATCGTGCGCCACAAGCGTGAACAGCGGCGCAGCTGTCCCACCGTGGGAGAGCACACGCGCGTCAAAGCCCTGCACCACGCCCGTCTCGAGCGCAGCGAGGCACTGGTGGTCCTTCCACCCGTTCCACCGCACGGCCTCCACATCTGCCGGGATCGGCGCGACCAGCGCCGGCTCCGGCTGCCGCGCGTCGAACACGCGCAGCGTCTTGTCGTAGCTGCCTGTCAGCAGCAGGGCGGGGTTCTCTGCGCCGGCTGCGAGGCCCGGCGCGCCGACCTGCCACGCGACGCTCTGGACCTTGTCCGTGTGCGCGTGGAAGCTGCGCAGCGCGGCCGCTGACGCGCCCGCCATCGGGCGCGACAGGTCCCACAGCTTCACGGTCGTGTCCGCGGACGCGGACGCCAGCATGTTGCGCGCGCGCCGGTTCCACGAGAGCGAGAGCACTGCATCCACGTGGTGCGTCGCGTTCGGCACGCGCGCCTTCGGCTGGCGCCGCTTCTTCTTGCCGGTGCCAGCCGGCGCATTCAGCGGCTCCGTGAGGTCCTTGCGCCCGAGCACCGCGTCAGGATACATGCCTTCCAGCACGTCCATGTCCCAGATCTCGATCTCTGGGTCCATCGTGCCGACCGCGACAAAGTTGCCGAGTGTGCCCGCCGCACGCGTCTGGCTCTCGACGACCGGCGCCGGCGCATAGTCGAGCCACTCGAGGTGCAGCGGGAACGACGGCAGCAGCAGGTCGTGGTGCACGTACAAGTTCTGGTCGTCCGCCGAGTACACGTACACCTCGAGCATCGAGACATCGTCCTCCGTCTTCGCCGTGACAATCATGTTGTCGCTGGGGAGCACCTCCAGCTGCTCGCGCTCCTCCTCCTCGTCGGCCGGGTCGTCCTTCAGCGTGACGTACGGGTCCTCGTCGTTGTTGCGGAAGTACTGCAGCCCACGGATGCCGCTCAGCGCGCCCATCGCCACGCTCTGGCTCGGCTCATCGTCGTACTCGTCCAGGCGGTAGCGGCTCAGGTCGCTGGGGTCCGCACTCTCCGCCTCGTCCTCCTCCATCGCCTCGTCCTCGTCCACGTCTTCCCAGCCGTCGTCCGCCGCTCGCTCACCGCGCGCAGCGGCAGCAGCCTCCGCCGCCGCCAGCTGGCGCTCCGCATCGCCCAGCTCCATGTTCGTCAGCTTGCTCACGCGCTCCAGCTCAGCCTCATCCAGCTGGTGCTTCGTCGGATGGCGCGCGGCCACACCGCGGGCAATCCACGCGGCCGACGAAATCATAGCGCCTGGTGGAGGGGCCGCTCGGCGCGGCCGTTTTTTTTTTGCGCGCCACACGGCCGAGCCGTTCTTTCATGCTGCAGACCGTCAAGCCGAAGAACGCGCGCTCGAAGCGCGCGCTGGAGAAGCGTGAGTCGAAGGAGCACGAAAATGCCAAGACAGCCATCTTCGTCAAGGGCACCAAGACCTCCGATAAGGTGAATCTCGCGCTCGCGGAGCTCGCCGCGCTCAAGAAGCCGGATGCCATGCCGTTCAACAAGCACAATGATGTGCTTCCCTTCGAGGATGCGTCGAGCATCGAGTTCTGGGGACAGAAGAATGACGCGAGTCTCTTCGTCGTGGGCAGCAGCCAGAAGAAGCGGCCTCACAACCTCTGCTGGGTCCGCCTGTTCGACGGCCAGGTGCTCGACATGCTCGAGATGGGCATCGTCCAGGCCACCAGCATGAACGCATTCAAGTCGAACAAGCCGAGCATCGGCATGCGCCCCCTGTTCCACTTCTCGGGTCCCGAGTTCAGCATGGACGCCGGCGCTGACCGCCTCGCCGCGGCGGGCGCGGACCCCGAGCCGAAGGGCGCCTACCTGCACCTCAAGTCGCTCCTCCTCGACTTTTACCGCGGCGAGGAGCTCAGCCCGAACAACATCGCCCTGGGCGGCCTCGAGCATGTCATCTCAGTGAGCGTAGCTCCCTCAAGCGGCACACAGGACGCGGCGGCCGGCGCACCCGGCGCGGACGATCTCGCGAGCCTCTACCGCGCGGCGGGCCTGCCCACGCAGGTGACCGGTGCCAGCGCCGTGCACCGCTGCCCGCCGTGCACCATCCTGTTCCGTGTGTATGCTGTCAAGATGCTGGCCTCCGGCACGAAGACGCCGCGCATCGAGCTGGAGTTGTGCGGGCCGTCGCTCGACTGGGAGCTGCGCCGCCGCCTACCGGCCAGCATGGACCGCATGACGCAGGCCCTCAAGCGCCCCAAGTCAGCTGAGCAGAAGAGCACGCAGGGCAAGGGCAAGCGCAAGAACATCGACACGGACGAGATGGGTGACATGGTCGGTCGCGTACACTTGGGCCGCCAAGATCTCTCGTCGCTTCAGGTCAAGAAGGCCAAGGGCTTGCGTGGCGCGCCTGCGTTCGACGACGAGGATGAGCAGCCCTTGGAGGAGGAAGACGACACTGAAGAAGACGATGCATAGACACTATAGCCCCTCTAGATACCCGAGTTCCGGAGCCGCAGGCGCTTGGCGTGGGCGTACACCCACATAGGTAGCGCCATGCTCACATAGCGTAAGTCCACAGCAAGTCCCCATCGCTGACTCTGTAACTCAGTTGGTTAGAGTATCACGTTAACACAAATCGTGGTCTACGGTGTCAACCGTGAAAGTCCCCGGTTCGAGTCCGGGCAGAGTCACTTTTTTGCTCCACGCACGTCCGGAACGGCAGGTAGCTCCACTTCAGGCTGAATTTTCCGTCGCCCTGTTTGGGACGATATAACGTGGAGGACGTGTTTTGCTTTTTTTGGAAATTAGGGATTTCTGCTATTTTCTACTTTATGCAGTTCCATTGCACCAATCCTATTCCCGATTTCTGACATAGTGCAATGGAGATGATATGTCAGTCGGGGGAACATCAGGTGAACTTGTGCTGCATCCGTGTGTAAACCAGTGGATCAACGAGATGCATTCCGAAAGCGGATCGGGTGCGTGTTTTGCGTCCAAGTGATTGTCAACTCGTTTGTTGCGGTCTGGAGCTGTTTATAATCCCACCATCAACTCCTCGACAACGTACCGTTGAATACCACTGTCACCATGGATCTTAGCTCGGTCATTCGCAAGGGTCACCCCATCGCTTTCGCTATCTTCATTGTGCTCTCGCTCATTCTGGCAATCATTGCCTCGGCTGTGGTGGCGAACCTGAACCACCACGGCAACGATGTCTCGAACCTGATTCGCGACACCACTCGCTTCATGGTGTTCACTGGCTGGTGGAGTGTTCTTTTTGGCGCCATTTTCGTACGTATACGCTAGGCTTACCATGCAGCTGGCTCTCTTTGTTACGGGTATCGGTGGCGTTCTCTCGTCGATTGCGAGCCACGGTATCTTTGTGCTTATCACCTGGATCTTCTGGCTCTGCGGTTCGGCGGCGCTCTCGAACGCTGTCGGCAACGCGAAGTGCGTCAGCGACGAAAACGCGGACGGCTTCATTCGTGACTGCGACGCCCTCAAGGCTATTGTTGCGTTCGGCTGGATTGGCTGGGTGGAGCTTACCCTGCTGCTGGGTGTCATTCTCTTCCTCGGCATGAAGGCCTTCCGTGGCGGTCGCGGTGTCCACGACAGCCTCGCGTAAGTTTCTTCGCATCTTTTGTTTTATACTCGTTGCTGCAACCTAGAACACGTCTATTGTTGCGCCTTGAGACAAGCTAATTGATATTTCCCTCCCACACCTCCCTTGATTGTTCTGTTGAGAGACTGTAGCGACCCTGCGGTCGATATGGAAACATACCCAGGAGCAACGGATGCTGCTTTCCGCGGATGTATGACTTGCACTACGACCTCTTTGTGCTTCTTATGTTACGGGCCGTCTTACATGATACATCTTCGGTTCCCTAATGGGTACTATGTTGCTCTTAGAGCTACGTAGCTATACAGTTCTCTCTTGCCTCTCTTTACATGGCGGGGCTTCCCAAGGCCGGCACGGATTGTGTGTTTGGGTTGCGCGGGGGCGGCGCTCTGGCGTGTTTATTTCTTACGGCCGAATGCGCCGTAAGTCCTTGGGAATGGATGCGTTCCTCGTGCCGGTGATATTTTTTGCGTGGAGGCGTGGCCGCGGCCATTAGGGCCTTCCGCAGCTCGCTGCATGTGGAATTGCAATTTCGTCCAGGCCGCGGCGCCCTCTGTGGCCAGCGTTCCGGCCGAGTCCCTCACGCGTCTACGCGTGGGCGGCCAAGGATCATCAACGCGCCAATTAGCACCGCGAGGCCCGACGCGTCGTACGCGTTGATTCCACGCGACCGATTGATCAGTCCTCCCACGCGCTGGCGCCCCTAGGCCTTTTTACCACCGACCACCTATCTCCCGTCCCTACCCTCTTCGTGCGTAGGCTTTCCGACATGATTTTTGTCTACAAGCGAGGTGCGTGAATCTACTGTCTAACAGCAGACGGCCGCAAGGAAGAGGTCCGTTTCGATAAGGTGACTGCCCGTGTGGCAAAACTATGCTACGGGCTCGACATGAACTATGTCGACCCGATCGAAATCACGCGCAAGGTGATCGACGGCATCTACGAAGGTGTGACCACGGTTGAGCTCGACAACCTCGCGGCAGAGACTGCTGCATACAAGACCACTACCCACCCGGACTACGCGGTGCTGGCGGCGCGTATCGCCATCAGCAACCTGCACAAGGAGACCAAGAAGCACTTCAGCCATGTGGTCCAAGACCTGTACGACTATGTGAACCCCAAGACGAGGAAGCACAGCCCCATGATCTCCAAGGAGACATACGAGGCCGTGATGAAGAACCGTGACACACTCGACTCGGCGGTGATTTACGAGCGCGACTTCCACTACAACTTCTTTGGCTTCAAGACGCTCGAGCGCTCCTACCTGCTGCGGATCAATGGCAAGGTTGCGGAGCGCCCCCAGCACATGCTCATGCGCGTCGCCGTCGGCATCCACGGCGAGGACGTGGCGAGCGCGATCGAGACGTACAACTACATGTCCGAGAAGGCCTTTACACACGCGTCGCCGACCCTGTTCAATGCCGGCACGCCCAACCCCCAAATGTCGTCGTGCTTCCTTGTGAGTATGAAGGACGACTCGATCGAGGGTATATACGACACGCTCAAGACCTGTGCGATGATCAGCAAGACGGCCGGCGGTATTGGTCTGAACATCCACAACATTCGTGCGACGGGCTCGTACATCGCCGGCACGAACGGTGTGAGCAACGGTATTGTGCCCATGCTCCGCGTGTACAACAACACGGCGCGCTACGTGGACCAGGGCGGCAACAAGCGCCCGGGCGCCTTTGCGATCTACCTGGAGCCGTGGCACTCGGACGTTTTTGAATTTATTGATCTGCGCAAGAACCATGGCAAGGAGGAAGTGCGCGCGCGCGACCTGTTCCTGGCGCTGTGGATTCCCGATCTGTTCATGCGCCGTGTCGAACAGAACGGCGACTGGTCGCTGATGTGCCCCGCCGAGTGCCCAGGTCTGGCTGACTGCTATGGCGAGGAGTTTGATGCTCTGTACGAGAAGTACGAGCGCGAGGGCCGCGCCAAGCGCTCTGTCAAGGCGCAGAAGCTGTGGTACGCTATCCTCGAGGCGCAAATTGAGACGGGCAATCCTTTTGTCCTGTACAAGGACTCGGCGAACCGCAAGAGTAACCAGAAGAACCTGGGCACGATCAAGAGCTCGAACCTGTGCACGGAGATTATCGAGTACAGCTCGCCGGACGAGACAGCTGTGTGCAACCTGGCGTCGATTGCGCTGCCGACGTTTATTGAGGGCACCGGTGCCTCGAAGACATACAACTTCCAACGCCTGCACGACGTGTCGAAAGTGGTGTGCAAGAACCTGAACCGCATCATCGATATCAACTACTACCCTGTGGAGAGTGCACGTCGCTCGAACATGCGGCACCGCCCCATCGGTATCGGTGTCCAGGGCCTTGCCGATGCGTTCATGATCATGGGCTATCCGTTCGACAGCCAGGAGGCGCGCCTGCTGAATGTGCAGATCTTTGAGACCATTTACCATGCGGCCTTGGAGCGCAGCTGTGAGCTGGCGGCCGAATATGGCACATACGAGACGTACGAGGGCAGCCCTGCCTCGCAGGGCCTCCTGCAGTACGACATGTGGAACCGCACGCCGTCGGACCTGTGGGACTGGGCCTCGCTCAAGGCAAAGATTGCCCAGCACGGTCTGCGCAACTCGCTGCTGATGGCGCCCATGCCGACGGCCTCCACGAGTCAGATCCTTGGCTTCAACGAGTGCTTTGAGCCGTACACGAGCAACATTTACATGCGCCGTGTGCTTGCCGGTGAGTTCCAGGTGGTCAACCCGTGGCTGCTGCGCGAGCTTGTCGAGCTGGGCCTCTGGAATGACTCGATGAAGCAGAAGATTATTGCGCATGGCGGCTCAATCCAGAACATCGCTGGCATCCCTGACCACATCAAGGCCCTCTACAAGACTGTGTGGGAGATCAGCCAGAAGGTGATTCTCGATATGGCCGCAGACCGTGGCGCCTTTGTGTGCCAGAGCCAGAGTCTCAACATCCACCTGAGCGCGCCGACGTTTGGTCAGCTTACGTCGATGCACTTTTACGGCTGGAAAAAGGGTCTCAAGACGGGCTCGTACTACTTGCGCACACGCCCGGCTGCGCAGGCGATCCAGTTCACTGTGGACACAGCTGAGGTGAAGGCCGCGAAGGAGGTCAAGAAGGCCAGCGCCGCACAGATCGCGAGCGAGCGCAGCGGCCGCGCGAACGAGGGCGCACGCAGCGCCCTGGCTGCTTCCACGACGGGCAACGCAGCTGTGCCGAATACGAACGCGCCGGTCGCCAACGGCACAGCCAGCGACGCGGCTGCGCTGACCAGCCAGGCAGTGCCTGCTGGCGCCGGAGGCCGCTACGAGTCGATGGTGCAGGGCGTCGGCCGCCTCGGTGTGGACGGCACCGTCACCGAGGACGGCCCTGGCAAGCCGCGTCCGGGCGAGGACGGCAGTGCGGCCCCCGCGGAGGACGAAGGATTTAAGGCTGCACAGGAGCGCGCCCGGCGCCGCCAGGAAGAGGCTGACGCACGCCTTGCCTGTTCGCTCGAGAACAAGGACGCATGCCTTATGTGCTCTGGCTAGGTCCGTAGTGAACTCGGTTGTGAGGATCTCCGTGATCGGGCAGATCGGGCCCAGGGGCAAGTTTCTCCGTGTGGGTGGGTGGAGGATACCGGTCAAGGCGACGACGGCGCCGTCTACGACGACCATGTCGCCGCCTCGCATGTACGTAGCGAGCGTACTCACAGGCAAGAGAGCTGCGGCCTCCGCCGAATCGTGGATTCTTGCAAGGATACCCCGGTATTCCAGCGTCGGAGACGCGTCCTGAGGCTCATCTGAGCGGGGCGGTCGCCGTCCAGATCTCGTCATCCAAGGGCGTCGAGGCGGCGTGGCTCCGCGTCGAAATGTGCAAGATCGAGACGCTGCCGCGCGGGGAGAGCTGGAAAGAGCTTATCGGACAGGGCCCTGTCGATGTGTGGACGGCTGGCGAGAATGGCAACGGATGGGCCACTCTGACAACGGTACGTATATGGCACTCACGATAGCGTCAATGCCCGTTCCGCCTTCCGATTCCCGAGCGTCTACCGCCAACGCTCCATCTCGAGAAGGGAGGCGGCATCACCTACAAGCTGATTGCGTCCTTGAAAGTGCGCCTGAAGAAAGGGCTCGTGCGCAAGGAGCTGTACGAGACTGTGGTCCAGGATGTGCGCGACATTGTGCTCGAGAAGCATGAGCAACACTCGACGTGGCCTATCTACAAGTGCGTGTCCATGGCTAACCGCAGCGTCCCTGAAGAGTTCGAGACCCAGGAAGGCCTGTACCACGCGACGCTGTATCGCAATCGGCGCGCGTACGCACCGACCGACGAGCTCGACGTCCGTGTCGTTGTCATGGCTCAGACTCCTAAGCCGGCCAAGATCAAGTCCATCACGGTTGGCGTGCGCCAGACCGTGACCATGTTCCACGACAACCGCCAGACCGCGCGCCCCAACGACCAGAGGAGCGTTATGCTCGTGTCGAAGAGCAAGACTCTCCGCAAGAAAATGCAGCCAGGCGAGTACTTCTTGCAGGACATGACGCTCGTGATCCCCAAGAACCACACGATCATGTCGGTGAGCACGGCCAAGCACATGGAGGTGTCGCACTCGTACGTGTACACGCTCTGACCTCAGATTGCGCGTCCTTATCCAGATCGATAAGACGACTCTTACCTTCGATCGCGTTACTATGCTCATTTCCGGCTTCCTGCCAAATGTAAGCACCGCGACGATCGCCCGGATCGGGCCCGTGCCGGCCCTAGATGTGCCGCCGGAGTCCAATCCACATGCCACGCGGCCAGACACCACGGTCTTTGTGCCAGACGAGCCAACGAGCCTGCCCGAGGTCCTGTCCTCGGGAACCAGCGCCGGCGTCGTGCCAGCGGCCTCGCCCTCTGCGGCGGATCCGTCCATCTACATGGACGAGCATGTGCCGTTCCCCACGCTCGGCCAGAACGACGCCGTCTTTCTAGGCACCGCCACGCCGCGGCGCGCTATCCCTGCGTCGCCCCTGGCCCCACACGAGGCAGATTCTTTCCCACCGAACGCGGACCCTCTCGTTCATATGCGGCCGGGAGACATTTACCCGTCGGACACCCTGGCGTCGCCATCGCGCGTCTCGTCGCATGCCTACCACGGCTCGGGCGCAGGCCATGCACGTGCCCTGTCGGCTTCGAGCATGCGTGGCTCTTTCGACTCGGCGACCGGACAGCGCCCCGTGTCCGTGTTCATGGAGCCGCCCAGCAACACGACGGCTCCCTACCGCATGTCGCGCGCGTATCCTAGCGCGGAGCAGGAGAAGGTGCGCCTCTTCGAGCAAGCTCGTGCGGAGGCGGCCCAATTCCAGTCCCAGATCAGGAGCGACGTGACGTTCCCCGATCCAGAACCCCCTGTGCTCTCGCTGGCCAACACCGAGTACGACCAGGCCGGCGGAGTGCCCATTCACGCGTCGTCGCGGGGCGCAGATGCCGGCACAGGCGCTGCCACACACTCCGCGGCAGGGCCCGTATCGCTGAGCGAAAAAGAGCAGGTCCGGCGGTACCAAGAGGCACAGGACGCTGTGGCGCAGCACCTACGGGCGCAAGAGGCTCCGGCCGGCGCGGACGCTGCGAGCGGCGCGGCGCCCGCGTCATCGCCATACCTTACGAGGTCGGAGCAGCGGGCCATGGAGGAAAAGTCCCAGCTCCAGAGTCACTATGCACAGAGGAACGAAGCTTCTACATCTGCTCCGGCCCCCGCGCCCACGGCGCCCCAGGCGTCCGCGCCCCCTTTGTCGACGGTCGCTTCGGAGCCTCCACCTCGACCGCCCAAGGTGCCGCTGCCGTAGGCCGCTCATAGCCTCCACATTATGATCCCGCGTGGATGGGTGGCAGCGCTGCTGGCAGCGCTGCTGGCAGCGCCGCTCGTGTGGGCAGGTGTGCCGGCCGTGGAGGAAGGGGCCGTGCGACATGTGCATGATAACGAGCCGTGGCGCATCCAGCCGTTTGACGCAGCGAAGGTCAACGACCGGTGGCAGCTCGACACGGCAGAGCGCAGCGCGTCCAGCACCCACTCGGCTGGATGGATCAACCCCCGTGAGCATGGGGGAAGCATGCTGGATATCGTTGGGAATGGGTTCCGCGAGCCTATCAATGTCATTATATCCGGCCGGTCGGACCCGAGCATCATGAGCGACCAGGGCCTGCTGGACTATGTGCGCTCGATTGGGTTCTCGTTCGAGTGTCTGCACCTGCATCTCGGCGGTCTGCAGCATGCGAACCTGGGCGACGGCCGTGGGTACACGCCGCAGCTGTTCGAGTACCGCAGCATCCTGTTTCACGACTCCCCCGGCGCCTGGATCGGCGCTTGCTGGGAGAGCCTCGCGGGCGGCAACCACTTCCGAGTGTGGCGCCAAAACGGCACACTGGCCGATACAGGTGCCTGGTTCCTCGCGGTGTCCAAGGAAGAGGACGTCTTTCAGGAACACACGATCTCCACGAACGGGTACGATGTGGGCCGCAACTTGCTGGTGGACGCGGCGACCCGCGGTGGCTCTTTCAAAGGCAAGTCGTGGCGCGCCTCGGTCGAATGGAAGACCGGCCTCCTTCCCTCTGGCAGCCAGGGTATGTATACATCGACTCACGCAGGCATCAACCACAACATTTCTCTGGACGGCCGCGTGGCGATTCTCCATGTTTATCGCACTGACCTGTCGTAACGACCCATTCGTAGCGACGCTCATGCTCTTTGCACGACCCCAGACGCACAGGCGCGCGCTGGCCGTCGTGGGGCAGGGCGTACGTGTCGCGCTCCACAAAGAGTGCGCGCGCCGGCGCCGTCCGGGATATCAGCAGCACGGTCGACGTTCGCGTGCCATACCAGCTTCGGTGCCCGGCAGGCAGCTCGTCGGCTGTCGCCAGACGTGTGCCCTCGACATTGCTAGGCAGGCGGCACGGACTTACGTGGACCGTATGCTGCATGTCGTCCATGACATGAATGGTCCTTTGGGACTCACTGCCCGTTAGTGGGGGCGGTCGACGTACCTCATCACACCAAAGAGCCGCTCAATCAGCTCGTCCGGCGTTGTGCGGGGCTCAGATAACACATGCTGAAGTGCCGATTTACCATAGGCGATCTTGGGCCATGGGGTGTGCAGTGTGCTATTGCTCAGGCCGTATACCTCCCCCGAGCCCGAGACTGCGAGGATGTCCGGCTCTGTCGCCTCGACTCGGTTCGTCACATAGCCCATGCGCACCTCGGTACCCTGCACACACCCTGCGAGCAAGTTGAAGCCCGCGTACCGCTGTCGTACGCGGAACAGGTCCTGCAGAACGTCGGCACCGTCCCTGGGCCGAGGGCCTTGATGAGCCTCCATCCATGCCATGACTAGCTCGCCACGCGAGCATAGCGGACGCCCCTGCTCGTCCATCTCGGGTCGTGGATGTTCTGTCACATTCGTGAGCACCGCAAAGGCGCCAGTGCGTGTGACGCCCAGCCACGTCCCGCCCGCAAGCGAGTCAAGGCCACCCAGCATGGTCAAGTCGTTTCCGCTGCGGCCGTGAACGGTGCGCCATTGCGCTGGCGACGCAGGACGCGCAAGAAACTCGTCACGATTGCTCGCAAGGATGCTGCTGGTTACACACCGTGCACCTACAGGCTATACTCAGGATCGTCCGTTGTCCAATACACCACACACATGTAGAAGGCCAGCTAGCACCTCCACCTCAACGCTTTATATCGCCATGCACGAGCGGAGCGCGTCGAGCGTTTCTGAATGGCAAGCTCGGCCAAGCCACAAGGGCGTTGTAGCATCGACGATGAGCCTGAACGTGTACGAAAAAAGTATAAACGACGTGGCCCCATTCTGGGGGAGAAAAAAATTGCTCCCAACCTGGTTCGAACAGGTGGCCTCAAGAAGGACTTTGTTCATCCACTTATGAAGCGGCAGGCTTCAGTCTTGCGCTCTTCCAGCTGAGCTATGAGAGCCGACTTGTTCGGGCTTCCGGTCAAGCCAATATAGTTCATTTCCACTTGTCCATCGACGTCATCACGCGACGAACCTAGAATTTTTACGTCCGTTCGCCAGCCATGCTGTTTTGTCCCAACTGTGCGAATGTGGTCACCGTTCTTCCCTCAGATATGACGGCACAGAACAAATGGACATGCCCGACTTGTCCTTTTGAGTTCCCCATGGACTTCCAGGTGACATCACGCATGTACCTGCAACGCAAACAGGTCGACGATGTCATGGGCGGTGAAGACAGCTGGAAAAATGTGGACAGCACAGACGGTACGTTCTTCATGTCTAATATGCTAGCTACTTGTCCTAAATGCGACAATTCGCGGGCCTATTTCATGCAACTTCAAATCCGGTCTGCTGATGAGCCGAGTATGTACAAAACCATCATGGATGGATTCACTAACCGTCAGTGACTACGTTCTACAAGTGCACACGCACGCAATGTGGCTTCCAGTGGCGCGAGAACTAGTGCTCTCCATCAGCAAGTCCACTATGGAGACTGTATCATGACGCTACCTGTGCTCCGCACGGTGCATTCCTATACCCTTGCTTTTTGTAGCATGTACCTACGCAATGGAACACTCACGCTGTAGTCGGAAGGACGCTTCCTCGTGTGTGGTGCCGCGATCGATGGGGCCTGTCTCCACTTGTCGAAGCGACGCATCTTCTCCACTGGCTGCCACCAAGGCCTATGTGTTGATTCAGATGAGTCAGGTGGACACATCCTCGTCCGACAACGCCAACGCTACTTGGCGCTGGAACTTATCGCTATCCCTAGCTCCCTTTGAGTTCTTTGTATCTCGATATGCTGTCGCTATTGTCCTTATGGCACGTGTTTGTCAGCTCACAGCAGGCCTTCCTGTCGCACCGCATTCACCATATATGCACCACGCCCATGCGTCCCTTGCAGCTCTCTACGAAGCAGCGAGTGTTCATCCGCATCCCGAGTATCGTACTTCTTCTGAACTCTTTCTGGGGTCTATTCGTGGCCATGTGCCGGGACACCACAACACCCTCCGCTCAGACGTGGCTCCCTTATCTGCGATGGTTCGTGCCTGTGCGCCTCCTGCAGCAGGGAACTGACTATGAAACTCTGCTGTGGTCGACGTTCCTTAGCGCGTGCGTTTCGTACTGTGTCGCTCTGACGGCGCGGTGCCTGCAGCATACGTCGCAGCGAGAGGATCCGTTCTCCTTCAACCTGATTGGCTTTGGTATCATGCTCTGCATGCACTCCAGTGTGCCAGAAATGAAGCCAAATGCACATATCTATCTGATTCTGCTCATGAGCGTCGTCGAGCTCCTGGGCATCAACCTGCTGCGCTGTTGGTCGCGCTCGCCCATATCGCGTCTGGCTTTCACGTCCGCCCAGAGCCTGGTGTTGCTTCTGCACTACCTGTACACCTCCTTTTGGCCTAAGGAATATCCACCCTTCTACAATGCCTTCCGCTTCTTTGAGGCATCGACCATCTTTATCGTGGTATCCACGCTAGGCCTGGTCATGCTCACTCAATACTTTAGCACGGGGCATGCATGGCCGCTCCATCCAGGCCTCCCGCCCACCTCTCTGCCTCGACCCACAGACGACTTTTACCTGGCCCTGCTGCGTGTCGGGTCCGAGTGCATGCAAATGACCCGGCTCCAGGGCTTGGGCCGCGAACTGCCTGCACCACCTAGGCCCCTGCACACGTACGTGGAACTGTCGTCCGACGGCCGTGCCTTTTTGGAGCATGGTCTGGAAAACCTAGAGCACATGGCGTCCTCTGGCTGGAATGGATATGCCAACGAGGTGCGCGATATACGCGTCAAGGCCCCTGAACGCATTGACTCTGTTGCCGGCATGCACGGCTCGGACAAGATGCATGCCATGGGGCAGTTGGCATGGAACATCTACCAACTCCTGGCCCATGCACTGAGCATCCTGTGTGGCTATGTATCGCCATATCTTCCGCCTATACCCCAGGGATTCCGACGTATACCCCGCTACGTGCGCCTTTTCTGGCACGGTAGAAATGGCGAGGCGCGACGCGAAGCGCGCCTTGCGCGCGCCTCGGAGGAGCGGCGCGAGCAAGAGGCTAGGCGCGAGCAAGCGCAAGCCATGTTCGAGGCCTTCCAGCGTCGCCAGCTCATTCGCGCGACCTATACGCAGCATCCCCATGCCCCCCCGGCATGGTCCAGTGCGGACGACCTGGACCCCATCGAGCTCATCTCGCTAGCATCGGATCTGCAAGAGAAGCCGTTTCAGGATGTGCTATTGAAGCACATGGTGCGACCGGACCACACACCGCCTCTGACCCGGAGCGCCTACCGCCAGATGTCGCAGGCGGCACAGAGGGGCCTAGCACCGGACCACACCGAATGGAACCCTACGAGGACGCCTCACGCCCCCTCATCCCAGTGGGTCCTGCAGGCGCCGACCGCGAGTGACCAGCGCACTCGCGCGGAACTGCTGCGCATCCTCCAAGCACAGCGATCGAACAAGCTGGCCGGGATCACTGGAAGCGAGCTGGATCGAGAGCGCTCTCGCCTCTGTGTCGTGTGCTGCTGTGAGGAGCGGACAATTATCAATTGGCCGTGCCGGTGCCTAGCGCTCTGCGATGAATGCAGAGAGGCACTCTCCTCGACAGGAAAAAAGTCCGAGACCACGGATCCCCAGGAAGACGCGTCTTCCTTGCCGCTCTGCCCCACATGCCGTACACCCGTACTGGCCTTCTCACGACTGTACCTCCCATAGCACGAAGGCCCTGGCTGACTAAACACCGATAGCGCGGCGCGCACGCGTGACGAGGTTGCCTCGCGACGGCGCAGATCCCTGGATGTCGACGACGCAATTTGAGAACATCTACCATGGGAGCGGCAAGGTCCTGGGGCGGATCCGCTTCTCCGCTGCAGGTCTTGGGTGGAAGCCTATGGAGGACGGTGCTACCGTGACGATCCCCGCTGAGCAGATGGTGTCCTTTGCGTGGTTGCGGTACGTGATGCTACTGACACGGCAGAGTAGCGCGCCAGTTTCAGCTGCGCATTACGCTCCATTTTGAGGGGCAGGCAGAGCGGCGCGCGATGTTTGAGAACTTCCAGCGCGAGGACCAGGCCAAGCTGGAGCAGGTGCTCCGTGAGTGCTACGACAAGCCGCTCGAGTCCATTGAGGTATCGACACGAGGCTGGAATTGGGGAGCTGCGCAGGTCGATGACCACGACATGAAGTTCCTAGTGCGTGACAAGCTGGCGTTCTCCGTGCCCCTGGCCAACATTGCGAATAGCAACATTGCCGGGCGGACCGAGGTCAGTATGGAGTTCCTGAACGCGCAAGAGCAGGAGCCGGAGCAGAACACGGGCGCCATGTCGCAGCCGGGCGGTCTTCCTTTCCATGGTCCGAAGAAGAACCGCACTGACGAGCTCGTGGAAATGCGCCTGTACATCCCCGGACACGTCGAGAAGGACGAGGACACCGACGGCGAGGAGAGCGGTGCCGTGAAGAAGGAGGGCGACGACGACGCGGAGGCCGAGACGAAGGGCGACGACGACGCAGACGCCGGCGACGACGAAGAGGAAGAAGAAGACGAGAGCGCCGCGCTCGCGTTCCACAATGCCATCAAGGCCAAGGCAGACATCGGCCAGGTGGCGGGCGATGGCATTCTTGTGCTCAAGGAGGTGCTGGTGCTCACGCCGCGTGGCCGCTACGATATCGACCTATTCTCCTCCTTCCTCCGTCTCCGCGGAAAGACGTACGACTACAAGATCCTGTACAGCTCCATCACGCACTTGTTCCTGCTGCCGAAGCCCGACGACATCCATGTCCTGTTCATCGTGGCACTGGAGCCGCCGATCCGGCAGGGCCAGACACGCTATCCCTTCCTGGTGCTGCAGTTCCCTCGTGAGGAGGAGATGGATGCCGAGCTGAATCTCGACGAGGAGACCATCCAGACCAAGTACGAGGGCAAGCTCAAGAAGCGCTACGAGGAGCCAACGTTCCGCATCATCACGAACCTGTTCCGTGTGCTCTCACAGCAGAAGGTCCATGTGCCGACAGGGTTCACTAACAGCACGGGCCAGGAGAGTGTGCGCTGCAACGTCAAGGCCAACGATGGCACGCTATACCCACTCAACAAGAGCATGATCTGGGTCTCCAAGCAGCCCGTGCTCATTCCCTACGCAGACGTGCACAAGATCGTGTTTAGCCGCGTGGGTGGTGCGATTGCCTCGGCCAAGACCTTTGATCTCCGCGTAGAACTCCGCCACGGCACCGACCACACCTTCCAGTCCATCAATCGCGAGGAGCTCGACAGCCTGAACAGCTTCTTCTCTGAGCGCAAGATCCGGGTCAAGAACGAGCTGACTGACGACGCGATGGGCGTCAATGCTACTGTCGACGAGCTCCTGGGCGACGACGACGACGACGACGGCGAGAGGCGCGGCCGCGACGAGTCTGATGAAGAAGGTACGCACACCATCCACTGACCATCTAGAAGACGAAGACTTTGAGGCAGAGTCAGAAGACGATGGAGGCAGCCCCTCGGAGGCCAGCGACGACGACGACGACGACGCGGTGCCGTCCGAGGACGAGAAGCCCAAGGTGAAAAAGGCCCGTACGGAGTAGATAGTGACTGCCCCCCTTGGAGATCGGGCCCGGTACGCCTCCCCCGGTCGGGCGCCGTGGAGGAACATCTCCGACGACGACCGCCCGCTATGGCGACCCATACTGCGGTCGTGATTCTTGGCGTAGGGTAGGTGTATGCGTCTAATGAACCCAGAGGGCCCACTAGCTCGGGCAAGACATCTCTAGCGAAAAACCTCCTGGCCATCTTGCAGCCGCCTGCCGACGCATCGTCGCCCATTGTTTCGGTGCATGCGCTCCATCAGGACGACTTTACTCCGCCAAAGGACGAGATCCCGTGGAATGCTACATGGCACGTCCAGGACTGGGACACGCCGCACGGATCTGTACGCAGCACTTGACTAACCTAGTGCGACTACCGCCGCTTGGAGCGCGTGCTTCAGTATTTCCTAGAGCATCACGAGCTTCCCCGGGATTTTCAGAGCTCGGAGCATCGACGGAGCAACTATTCGTGCTCGTTGCCGTCCGAGGAGCTGGCCTTGTGGCGCCACGAGTTCCACGGCCGCGGTGCCTCGCAGCTCGTGCACTCGGCCCGGTACCCGCCCGCGAGGAAGGTGATCATTCTGATTGTCGAGGGCTTTCTGATTTTCTATGATGCTGCGGTGCGCAAACTGTTCGATATGCGCCTCTTTCTGCGCGTCTCTAGGGAGACGATGCTGCGCCGACGCACAGAGCGCCAAAACTACGTGCTGGAAGATGGCGAGGTATGGGAAGACCCGCCCTTTTACTTTGATGAAATTGTCTGGCCCGCGTATGTCGAAGCGCATGGACGCATGTTTGAGCGGGGCGACGTAGAGCATGGCGCTTTGGTCAAAACGGCGACGGACGACACCCCAGATGGCGGCCCTGTCAAGGACCTGGTCCTTCTCGAGGCCGAGAGCTACACAAAAGAAGAAGCCTGCCGAATTGCCTGCCAGAACATCCTATCGTTCCTGTACCAGCCTTTGTAGAGCGCAAAAAGCGAAAGACCCGACCGGGGGTCGAACCCGGGACCTGCGCCAGCCAGTATTCTGAACGAACCCGTTCACCGGAAAGCGCCACTCGTTCCTCTGAGCTATCAGGCCGTACGCTTTAATGCCGAGGCGGAAAGAGATCTATAATCATAAAGTTGGGCAACCCCACCGTCCGCTCATACAGCGGCTTATGGTCGGACATGGGGTACATCATTGGTATGGACCACAGGGCTACACAAGCTAGGCGGCATGGCGCAGGTATCGGCCGCTTACTTGTTCTTCGTAAGACTGTCGGTTAGCTGCACATCCCAAGAGCACGTACCGGTAGCTGAACTTTTTCCGCGTGACGGCAAACTCGCCGAGCTTGTGGCCGACCATTTCTTCGGTAATCGTCACGGGCAGGTGGTGCTTGCCGTTGTGCACAAGGAACTTGAGTCTGAGGTGAGCACATGCTTACGTACCCCACAAAGTTCGGAAGGATGGTGCAGCTCCGCGCATTCGTGCGGATAGGCGTGTTGTTCTTCAAGGCCTGCTGCAAGTTCGGGAAGGGCACGAAGAAGGGACCTGCCTGTTAGCTATGCTCAGGCAGAAACGCTGCACCACAGCGGTGATGCGCTTCTGCGCCATGTACTTACCCTTCCATGCCGAGCGCGAGGCGCGCACCGCCGAGCTGAACATGGTCCAAGAAAGAGGCAAAGGGCCGACGAACGATGATTACGAAACCTCGCCTCAGCTCCCTGCCCCCGGCGCAGCCTCCACTTGGGCCTGCCCCCATGGCTTGCAGCACACGGGTCATGGCACAGCATACCGGCAGGCCAGCGTCAGCTATGCCCACGCATATGGCCATGCGGCAACGTCGCTAGACCATCTCTCCCTCTCTGCGAGCGTGTCACAGATCCTGCTCGACCTCGGCGTTGCACAAGGATCATCGTTGCTGCATGGCAGAAAGCGTACGCGCGCTCATGACCGCGGCGTTCAAAATGCAAGCGATCCACGCAGCCACGATGCATGTTTCAGCGTGTGCCCGCCCAGCACGCCTCGTCTGCCCACCGCGGCATGGCGCACGGCCAGGGCCAAGCCCCGCGCGGGGGACACTCGGCCGAACCAACGGCACCGACCGGCCGGCCCTGGCGCTGCTCTCCCTGACCCATGATGATTGCCCCTGTGCGTGTTGCCTGCTCCTCGACGCTGCGTATGGCGTCCCGCGTGCCACGGAGCGTGGCGCCTATGCCTGTGCGTATGTTCCAGACCTCGCGTCTGGCTGCCGAGGTGAAGACGTACTACACGCCCGAGCACGAGTGGATCCGCTACGACGACGCGACGAACGAGGGTGTGCTGGGCATCACGGACCACGCGCAGAACAGTCTGGGCGACGTCGTGTACCTGGAGCTGCCTGAGAAGCAGCAGGAGGTGTCCAGGGGTGGTGCGTATCCGACTCTGACCGGCAGACCAGATCGGCGCTATCGAGTCGGTGCGTAGTGCACACTAACCCAGGTCAAAGCCGCTTCGGACATTTACTCGCCGGTGAGCGGTGTGGTCAGCGAGATCAACGAGCGTCTCAACGACGAGATGACCCTTGTGAACAAGAGCCCCATGCACGACGGTACGTGCGCGCTGCTCACGCCAGGCTGGCTCGCCAAGATCAAGGTGTCTGCGCCGGGCGAGCTCGAGGAGCTCCTGTCCGAGGAGGCGTACAACGCGACGCTCGAGCACTAGATAGCTACGTAAATGTCCATGTGGCACAGTCTGTGTGAGTAGGCGTCGCGTACCTTGGCACAGCGTCTCGCGCTGCGGCGCAGGGACGGCGCTCGCCGCCGGCAGCGGCGGCGGCCCGAGGCGCGCTGCGCGGATGCGCGGCTCCCAGTCGTGCGCGAGCAGGTCAGAGATCAGCACAGTAATGCGGTGGGGGAGCACACCGACCGACCAGCCGAGGTACCGCACCGTGTCGTAGACGACGCTCTGGCCTATATGGCACCGCGTCTCCATCGCGAAGCCCGTGCGGCTGCATATCGAGTTGCGTCCGACGCACTGCCCCGTCGCCAGGGCATCCGCCGTATGGTAGACGTGCGTCACGGGCACAAGCGCATACGCATCGTCGTCGGGCGTGCTGGGCGGCGGGATCGGCAGGTGCAGGCGCGCGGCGGCGACGCGGTCGCCGGGCGACTCGAAGGCGATCGCCGGCACCCCAAATGTCGCGCCGAGGAAACTGGCCATCACGCCGCCGAGGCTGTGCCCCGTCACCCACACCTGGCTGTTGGGGTACAGGTACGAGATGTTGTTGTACAGGTCCGTGGCCGCAGGGTAGTAGAGCGAGCGCTCGATCAGCGTGCGCCCCATGCACCGCGAGTCGCATGTGTTCGGGTCGTGCCAGCAGTCGCACATCGGCTTCCACGAGCTGTCGACGCGCGCGCAGCAGCAGCTAAAGAGCAGGTTGTCATTGTCCTTGTCGCGCTGCGCCGTGCTTCCGCCCGGCAGGATGCTCGCGCTCGTGCCCTTGAGTGCCACGACCACCGTCGCATTGTTCGCGGTGGCAAACACCTGGCCGCGCAAGCCGCCCTCGTCCCAGCCGAACTTGGACGACCACGCCCAGCCCGGCGCATCGGGCAGGCGCGCCGGCACCGTCTCGTAGTACGCCCAGCACGCGAAGCGCGCGAGCATGCGCAGTGTGTGGCGGTCCGACACGTCGGGCCACGTCTGCGGCACATCCTCCCACGTCTCGAGTCGCGCCAGGTCCACGACGGCGTGCGGTGGCGCAGCGGCTCGCCGCGCCAGGTAGCCGCGCACATCCTGGAGCCGCCGCACCGGCCGCACCACCGTGCGTATGCGCGTAAGCGGCGCTGCCGACCGGCGCCATACGACCAGCACGAGCGCAAGTGCGATGACCAGCGCGAGCCACGCCCGCATGCGCCACCGCTGCGCTTGCATGCCGCGCCAGCGAAGGTGTGGAGGCCCCCCTTTTCTCTCCCATGTCGCAGGCGGCCCTGCGAGCGACGACCTGTGTGCGCGCGAGCGCACGCGCGATGTCGGCCCTGCACGCCCGCGCGCGCATGGCCAGGCCCGCGAGCCTGCCAGTCGTGCGCACGCTGCGCACGAGCGCACCGCGCTTTGCGTCCGAGGACCCGCGCTCCAGCTGGGAGCAGACGCTGCCGCCCGGCTTCGAGAAGCTGGGCGAGTCGCCCGAGGCCCTGGCTGCGGTGAACCATCTCATCGAGGTGCTGGAGAAGCACGGCCTCGACCTGTCGAGCGGGGCCAAGCCCAGCATGATGCAGATGGCGAAGCTCGCTACCAACGCCGAGGTGCGCGAGTGCACTGCCAAAGGTACGCGCCCGCACTCACACAGTCGTGCACGAAATGAAAAAGGCAGGCGTTGACCTGTCGCCGGAGAACCTACAGCGGATCATGAACGGCTCGTTCAAGTAGACCATAGCCGGGTGGAGTGGTCGCCCCTGATTGGCCGCAGCGCTAGGAGGACCTCCGCCGCGCGCTCGCGGCTTGGCGACATGGACGGCTCGCTGCCTGCGCCGGCGAGCGGCTTCCGCTATGCGATGGGCCTCATGCGCGTGCACCCCCATCTCGACGGGTTTGCGCGGCCGCTGAGCTCGGCGGAGGCTGCGCCGGCCGTGCGGGACATGCAGTGGGCGCTCCAGCGCTGGCAGATTGGCGAGCCGCTGGCGCTTCTGCGCAGCCCGCGGCCCGTGTACACGACCGAGTACGTGCGTCCTGCTGACGCAGACCGACGATGGAACGAAAAATGGACTTGGAGTCCAACTTGCGCGTGGTCCTTATCGCCATGGGCGTCGCGCTGGCCGCGCTGGTCCTCCTCGCCGGCGAGCGTGTGTTGCTGCGCCTCGGCTGGTATCACAGCGCGCCGACCTTCAGTATGGACGAGATGAAGCAGACGTACGATGCGACTATGACGCGCTACGCGGGCGTGAGCAAGCGCTGTGCTGCGTGGTGGCGCGAGCGCGAGGCCCGGTCCGATGCGCTCGGCGCCCTGGTCGTGCGTGTGCGGTGCATCACGCAGCAGGGCCTGCAGCGCCTTGCGCTGTGGCTGCGGCGGCAGCTCGATGCTTGGGCGCCGCCAGGGGCGACTATGCCTGTCTAGCGCCCGGCATACGCCTGCTCGGCCTCGGCGAGGCACCGCAGGTTGCTGCCGAGCTTGTTCATCGTCTCGATATACTCATCCTCCTCGACACTGTCGTACACAATGCCGCCGCCCGCCTGCAGGTACGCCACACCGTCCTTGAAGGTCATCGTACGGATCGCAATGCACACGTCCAGCTCGTCACGGCAAAAGTCAATGCGGCCGACGGCGCCCGCATACACGCCGCGGCGCTCCTGCTCGAGCTCCGTGACCAGCTCGATCGCGCGGACCTTGGGCGCGCCGCTCACTGTGCCCGCAGGGAAGATCGAGCGCAGCGCGTCCAGCTTGGAGCGGTCGGCACGCAGGCGCCCTGTGACGCGCGAGGTCAGATGGATGACGTGGCTGAACTTTTCGACGTTCATCAGCGACTCGACGCGCGTCGTCACCGGATCACACACGCGGCTGATGTCGTTGCGCGCGAGGTCCACCAGCATGATGTGCTCCGCACGGTCCTTGTCGGAGTCAAGCAGCTGCTGCGCCAGGACCTCGTCTTCCTGCGGCGTCTTGCCACGGCGCACCGTGCCGGCGATCGCATGCACCGCCACCTCGCCGCGGTGCACGCGGCACAGCGTCTCGGGAGACGCGCCGACGAGCTGCGCATCGCCGCAGTCGACATAGAACATGTACGGGCTCGGGTTGATCCGCCGCAGGTGCCGGTATACATTGAACGGGTGCAGCTGCGTCGGACGCGCCAGCCGCTGCGACGGCACGGCCTGGAAGATGTCGCCGCGCAGGATGTGCTCGCGCAGCGTCGTCACAAAGCGCTCGTAGCCGGCCTGGCCCACATTGCTCGTGGCCTCGGCGCCCGCGCGGATCTCGCCCTGCTGGGGCAGCGGCGTGGCGTCCGCCTGGATCGCACGCACGAGCGCGTGCACTGAGCGCACCGCCGCATCGTACAGCGCATCTACGTCGGCGTCCGGCGTGCGCCGGTGCACATGCGCCACGCAGTACACCGTTTGGTACACGTGGTCAAAGATCACGGCCGTGTCGCACAGCAGCAGGACGCTCTCCGGAATGCCGAACGGATCGCGCAGCGCACGCTTCGTCTTGGGCTCAAAGTGCTGGATGCAGTCGAACGCCATGTAGCCCACCGCGCCGCCGGTGAACATGTCCAGCTCAGGCAGCCGCACATACTCGAAGCCGGCCATGCGCGCCTCGAGGTGCCGCAGCGGATCGCCCTCGAGCGCGCACCCCGGGCCGGTGCGCAGCACGTCGATCGGCTTCGTGCCCAGGAAGCTGTAGCGGCCAACACGCTCGCCCGTGTTCACGCTCTCCAGCAGGAAGCTCTCTTCGCCGAGCCGCGCGCCGTTCGACAGGCGCAGGTACGCCATGACCGGCGTCAGCAGATCCGCCGGCACCTTGGCATACACCGGGATGATGTTTCCACGCCCCCCGCACAGCGCAGCACGCACCTCTTCGCGCGACGGCGCCACTGGCGGCTCCCACGGCATCGTCGCAGGTCGAGCTGCGTGTCACCAGCGCGCCTTTATGTCACGTGCCCCTATCGCTTCGCCCACCATGGCACCGGCGCTGCACCTGCCGCCGCCCACGCAGGGCTCCTCGTCCGACGAGCTCAAGGTCGTGCGCACGGCCACCGTCGACGGGCAGACGTTTGCATCGGGCGGCGTCATCTACCCGCCGCCGGACCTGCGGCCGGTGATCGACAAGACGGCCGAGTTCGTCGCGCGCAACGGCGTCGCGTTCGAGGCCAAAATCAAGGAGCAGGAGCGCCTGAACCCCAAGTTCGCATTCCTCAACTCGGGCGACGCGTACCACGCGTACTTCCGCCTCCAGATCCACGCCGCGAAGGAGAAGCGTGCGCAGCCCGCCGCGCCGCCCGACGAGCGGCCCGCCGCCCCCACGGCGTCGGCGGCCGTGCAGGCCGCGCTGCGCGCGGACCGCTCGCAGGCGGCGCCGGCCACTGAGCCGGAGCGACCGCCCGCGCACGAATTCTCGCTCGAGTTCCCGAGCACCGCGGCCATCGACCTGGAGGTGCTCAAGCTCACGGCCCTGTTCACCGCGCGGCAGGGCGCCGCCTTTGCGTCGCGCCTCCTCGCCAAGGAGGCGCACTCGCACCAGTTCGAGTTCCTGCGGCCGCACCACCCGCTGTTCAGCTACTTTCACCTGCTCGTCGAGCAGTACCACCAGGTCATGCAGCCCTCGCGTGTGCGCCTCGCGCACGTCCGGCAGTGTGCCTCGCGCGCGCGCGGCCCCGGCACGGGCGGCGGCCGCATGCATCTGCTCCCCGAGGTCAGGAAGCGCGCGGCGTGGACGCAGTGGGACCAGGAGCGCCGCCAGCAGGAGCACCACGAGGAGGAGCGCCGCCGCGCGCTCTTTGACGAAATTGACTGGCAGGACTTTTGCGTCGTGGGTGTCGTGGAAGTGACGAGCAGCGACGCACGCGCGGACCTGCCGCCGCCGCGCTCGCTGCACGAGCTGCAGACGATGCTCCAGACGCACCAGCGCATGGAGGCAGTCCGCGCCGCCGAGGCGGCGAAGCCGCGGCCCGCCGAGCGGCCCGNGAGGCGGAGGCGCCGGCCGCGCCGGCCGCGCCAGCCGCAAGCACCGTGCGGCCGACGCCGCAGGGCCCGATCAAGATCCGCCACGACTACCAGCGCACCGCCAGGCCGGCCAGCTCGGCCGCGGCGGCCGCGGCGGCCGCGCAGACGACCGTATGCCCCGTGTGTGGCGACACGGTGCCTGTCAGCGAGATGAGCGAGCATGTGCGCATTGAGCTCCTGAATCCCAAGTTCCGCGAGGAGCGCGCGAAGCTGGAGCAGCGGCGGCAGGAGCAGGCGAGTCTGGCGGCGGGCGCGGACCCGTCACACTACCTCAAGCAGTTTGCCGGCGCGCGCACTGACCTCTTTGGCGCTCGCGCCGACGAGGAGGCACAGGCACGTCGTGAGGCGGACGAGCGGCGCCTCGCGCGCGAGAAGGAGAAGGGCGTGTGGGACGGCCACGCGAACAGCACGAAGAAGGCGCAGGACGCGCGCGCGCGGGGCAGCACGGTGGACGAGCGCCTCGCTGCGATCCGCGCGCGCGCAGCGGCGCCAGCGACGCCGCTGGGGCCGCAGGCGGTGCCTACGAAGCGCGCGGCTGAGGACTCGACGGAGCCAAGCAAGCGGCGCGAGGCGCCGCGCGAAGCGCAGTACGCCGAGGCCGAGTGGCTCGCCCTGTACCCCCACCCCATCACCCTGCACGTCCACGTGCCGGATGCACCGCACGTGGCGCCGGTGTGCGACGGGCGCGTCCTGACGTTCTCGGGCCTGCCGCTGAGCACGACGATGGGGCAGGTGCGTGACCGCGTGCTGAGCGAGGCGCTTGGGCGCAGCGTGGGCGCCTCGAAGCTCAAGATGTGGGTGCACGGCAAGCCCGCGACGCTGCGGCAGTCGCTCGCGCACTGGAACTTGGCGGACGGCGCGCATGTGGAGATGAGTATAGCGAAATAGGCGGCCGCGGCCATGTCGCTCGAGGGCGATGTGCCGGACTTTGTGCTGAGCTACCCGGTGCAGGTGGTGACGAGCGGCATTGTGCTTGCCTTCTCGTTCTCGCTCCTTCTGCATGTGGTGTTCACGGCGGCGTACCACGTGCCGCTCAGCCGCGCCAACTTTGTGCTGCAGCTCACCTCGAATGTCCTGATGCTGGTGGCCGAGTGCACGAAGATTGGGATCATACTGTCGGAGATGGCGCGGGCGGGGGCGATGTGGCCGTACATGTTCCCGTTCGTCGCGCCGCGCCTGCCGAATCGCTCGACGTGGTCGACGACGCAGGTCGTCTTTTTCGCGCTGCTCCAGATGCTGACGCTGCTCTTCTCGCACGGCACGCATATCCAGTTCCTTACGCTGCTCTTCCCGTCCGTGCTCGAGACGCGCATGATCTACTGGATGCTCGGCCCGCTCGTCCTCATCATGGCGGGCATGTCCTTCGGCGACCTCGCGTCGGACGACGACCTAAAGACGCTCGACCTGTCCGATGCGCTCATGAACATCTGCGACAGCTCGCTCGCGCTCCTGTACATGGCGGCCCTGCTGATCTGGGGCGCCCTCGTCAACTGGCGCCGCGCATGGCGCGGCGATGGCTCGACCGCGGCGTTTGGCACGATTGCCGTCGTGGTGGCCGTGCTCAAGACGGTCATCAGCTTTGTGCACATTGGCTACGACCGCGTCTACTGGATGCGCGACTTGTCCGCGATATTCACCGTCTGGCAGAGCTGGCTCGGCTTCTGGTGGTGGGTGTCGGCCGGCATGAACATCGGCGAGTACGCCGACCGATTGCGCGCGCAGGAGCGCCGCACGAGGCGCCAGCAGCGGCAGCGCCGCCGCCCGCTGAAGCGCCCATCGGCACCCGCCGTCCTGCGCATGCACCGCGGCGGCGATGCCGACACTGCCGACGCGCCGGGGCCCGCCGAGACGCCCGAGGAGTCGCCGGGCGGCAGCTCGGACGTGTCGCCGCAGACCTACCTGTCCACGACGGACTCGGCGCCATGGACCGTGCGCCTGGCGCGCCGGATCGGGCGCCTCGCGCCGGACGCGCTGCAGCGCCGCTTCGAGCACCTGCGCTCGGCGCACTCGTCGGCTGTCAACCGTGCGGCGGTCGATCAGGCCGCGCCGTACGCGCGGGTCATGCAGTCGTGGGTGCCGAGCTCGGACCTGCTGCGCCGCCTGCGTCTGCAGGACAAGACGATGTACGAGTAGCCATGTAGGGGAAGCGCTCGTGGATGAGCGCCTGCAACTGGGGCCATATCTCGTCGCTCGTGGCGCCGGCCAGCGGCACGAGCAGCGGGCGCGACGGGTCGCTGGGGCAGGCCAGCTGGCGGAAGCGCTCTATCATCGGCTCCGTCACTTCGTGGTAGCCGTCGATGCGCCGCTTGAACGTGGCCGGGTTGTCGTCGTCGCGCTTCTCGAGCGGCTCGCCGGTGACGTCGTCGATGCCGGCGCGCTTCGGCGGGTTGAACGACAGGTTGTACACGCGCCCGGACGGCATGTGCGTCCAGCGCTCGAGGATGCGCTGCAGAATGACCTCCTCCGGCACGATCAGGTGCACGACCAGCGAGAGCGGCAGGTGCTCCGCCTCGAGGAACTCGTGCAGGCGCTCCGCCTGCGCATCGGTGCGGGGAAACCCATCGAGGATCCAGTCTCCATCGCGCCGCTTCGCGAGCTCGGGGCCGACCAGCCGCATCATCGTCGTGTCCGGCATGAGCGTGCCTGCGCGGATGACGCGGTCCGCCTCGCGCCCGACCTCGGTGCCGTGCCGCACATGCCAGCGCAGCATATCGCCGGCCGTGAGCACGGGCACACCCAGCTGCCGCTCGAGGCGCGCAGACAGCGTGCCCTTGCCAGATCCCTACTGTCAGCACACCGCACGTACAGGGCATCCCATCATCAGCATGCGCAGCCGCTGCTGCATCGGCGCCGCCGCATGGACAGCGCGCCGGCTCATGGTGGGGGGCACGAAGCGGGGCATTACATAATCGATACTACAGGTCGGCGGCGAGCGAGAGCGGCTGGAACGGATAGCCGGCCGCCTCGTAGTGCTTCGAGCCGCCCTCGACCCAGTGGAGACGCAGCGCGTGCAGGAACGCGGAGAGACCCTCCATCACACACAGAATCGCGATCGTCAGCACGAACCAGAGCGCGAACGCGAACACGGTCGCGAGCACGCCGGTGAGGCCGGTCATGCCGAACACGTTCTTGATCGTCATGTCCCACAGCACCTGCGACAGCTGCGCATGCGCCAGCGACAGCGCCCAGAGACGCAGGTACGAGGCCGTGTTGGAGATGCAGCCGAGGCAGAACTCGATCGTGTGGATGATCTGGTGGATGACCACCTCGCCGATCTCGAACTCCTCCTCCTCGTCCTCGTCGTCGACGAGCTCCTCCGCCAGTGCGCGCTCGTCGTCCTCGTCCGCGTGGATGCGCTGCTCGCCCCGCGCCGAGCCGACGGCATGGTATCCGGCGCCCTGGCGCCGCTGGTGCTCCTTCCACAGCAGATACGGCTTGGCACACAGCATCCACGGCACACACACGAGCGCCAGCAGCAGGAGGCCCATCTGCACGGACGCCTGGCCCGCGTACAGCTGCGCATCGGGCTCCACGACGCCAGGCTTGAGGAACATGTAGATCAGCATGTTCAGCAGCCCCGGCGGCGAGTTGTGCAGCGGCGCGCCGGCCGCGTCCGTCGCGTACCAGTTCGTCGCCCACTTGTAGAAGATGGTCACCACCAGGTAGCCAAACAGCGACTCGAGGAAGAGCAGCTGCGGCACGAGCTCCGCCCAGATGAACGACGCGCGCTTGAAGTGCAGGTGGTTCGGCACATTGAGCAGGAGCGCAAACGTCATGTGCGCCACGCCCAGCACGACCGACAGCTTCATCTTGAGCGAGTTTGTAAACACCAGGTTGTTGTCCGAGCCGTGCCACGCGGGGTCCACGCCCACCGGGTACACGCGCCCCGTGGGCTGCGCCGTCAGCGTCCCGGTGCCGCGCGGCCACGCCCAGCCGGACGAGAACAGGTGCATGCTCCGGCTGAACACGTCGTTGTACATGAGGCCCGTGAAGATCGCAAACGCACCCATGAGCAGGATAATGTAGCGACCGTAGAAGAACATGCCTGTGATCTCGTCCAGGCGCGTGCGCAGCAGCTTGTTCTCGTACAGCACCATCGCGCCCGCAGCGAGCAGCATCAGCACGCCGTGGCCCAGGTCACCAAACATGACCGCGAACAGGAACGGGAACGTAATCACCGTAAACAGACCGGGGTTCGCCTCCTGGTACGTCGCGAAGCCGTACGCGTCGATGATCGCCTGGAAGCCCTCGGTCAGCTTGTTCGTGCGCTGGAACGTCGGCGGCGTCTCCTTCGTGTGCATCGTCTGCATCACCGACGACACATGCGCGCCGGTCGTCTCCGTCGCGCGGCGCAGCGCCAGCTGCACAGCCGACAGGTCGCTGCGCGGCACCCATCCCTCCGCGACGAGCGTCTTCTGGTTGCCGTCAAACTGGAACTGGTTCATCGTGCCGTACACGAGCTTCTCGCGCCGCACCACGTCCGCCCACGCGGCAATCGACTCGGCGACGCGCACGAGCTCGGTGCGGCGCGCCGCGTTCGTCGAGTACAGGATGTTCTCGTGGTCCTCGATGCGCTCCAGCACGTCGTGCAGCCGCGCCTCGCGCTGCGCCGCATCGCTCTCGACCGGGTACAACGTGCCGCCCATCGACTCGCACATCTTGCGGATCTTCGCGAGCACCGCGGCGCCGTGCGCGAAAATCACAAACACGTTCTTGAACACGGGCTCCTCGCGCGCCGGGTCGTCAAACGGCGCCGGGATCTCCGCGTAGTTCATGTACAGGTTGCCGCGCAGCGCACGCCACAGCACACGCTCCAGCGTCGCCATGTGCGAGCGCTCGATCGTGCCCGCGACGAACTCGAGGTCCACGGGCGCACGGCTCGCGAGGCTGCGCACGCCGGCGCCCTGCCCCTCGAGCAGCGGCGCGTGCGCGTCCTCGTCCATGCTCACCCGCACATGCTCGGGCTCCGCCTCGGCGTGCCGGAAGAACACCTCCGTCTCGCGCACGACATGCTTCGACTCCTCGAGCTCCAGCAGCCGCTTCTGCAGCGCATCGTGGCTGTGGTTCATCTGCACGACGCGCTCCTCATGCTCCTGCAGGCGCTTCGCGAGCTCCTCCATGAACATCGGACCGCGCGCATGCTCCTCGTGCGGGAGAAACGCCGCCGCACTCTCGCGCGGGCGCACAGAGATCGCCTCGCGCTCCAGCTGCTCCTGCAGGAACTGCACGCGCCGGTCCATCTCATCGAGCCGCCGGATCTCGTTCACAAACGTGCGCTGGAACGGCGCCACATCCGGGTTCAGGTCCTTGAACTGGATGTTCCCGAGCTCCCCCAGCTCCGTCACCGTCGCATGCACACTCTCCGACGGGATGTACAGCTGGATCAGCGACATCGTCGCCGACCGGAACAGGCTCTCGTCGCTCATCCTCGCCGCGGCTAGCGTCGTCCGGCGCCGCGGCGCGGCGAGGCGGGCCACCGCCCGTCGGCCGAGGCACGTGGACCCCGCACCTCCACCGCCGCCCGCCGCCCCCGACGTCCATGCGAGCAGCGCAGGCGGTGCTCGCGCTCGCCGCGGCCGGCGTGCTGCGGGTGTGTGCGTGGTCCTGGCTCCCACAGCGGCGCTTCAAGGAGGAAGGCTTCCTCCCCGTCGGCTCCCTCGGCCTCGATGGCGTGCACGGCCACCTCGCCGCGTGGGGCTACTGGAACGACGACCGCTTCCTCGATGCGTACGTCGTCGACGCGGCGCGCCAGCAGGTCAGCGTGCACGCGTGGATGCACGCGCACTTTGCGTTCAACACGACGCCCGCGGCCGTGTACACCGTGCCGCCCGACCTGCGCATCGCGAACGTCGTGCCCGCCGACTTTACGTACAATGGGCGCACCGACCTGCTGGTCATGGCGACGCCCACGACGCGCGGCGCCGCGCCCCTGACGCTCCTCCTGTGGCCGACGAACCTGGACGGCACGCCCGGCGAGCCGACGACGCTCCCCGCGTCCGAGGCGCCGCACCCCCTCGTCCTCGACGCCACGGGGCAGCAGCGGGGCGACCTGCTGGGCCACGCCACCGCGCAGGGCGGCGCCCTGCGCGTGTGGAAGAATGCGGCGCCGATGTCGTTCGAGCTCGGCGCGCCGGTCCTCCGCGGCGACGCGCCGGCGTGCCGCCTCGCCGAGCCACACAGCTCCGCGCACGTGGACCTGAACGGCGACTGCCTCGCCGACCTCTTTCTCGTGTGCGCGGGCGCCCAGCCCGGGCGCCTCGCGTACCAGGTGTGGGTCGCCGTGCCGAACGAGCCGCTCACGTACGAGCTCGCGCAGACGGGCGACCTGCCGCCCGGCACGGGCCCACTCTCGTTCGCGGACATGAACCGCGACGGCACGATCGATGTCGTGTTTGCCGCGTGCGAGCGCGAGGGCTGCTTCCTACACATCGCCTACAACGAGCAGATGCCCCTCTGCTCCCGCGAGCGCCGCGGCATGCTCACCTGGCCGAACCAGACCGCGCACGCGCTCGGCCCGTGCCGCGACGCACTGCAGCTGTGCGAGGCGGACCCTGCGTTCCGCCTGCACCTCGATGCGGACGCGCCAGGCGCGCTGCATGCGCGCTGGCCCGTCGCCGAGTCGACGGGCGACGCACAGCTCCTGCAGCGCGACGACGTCGGCACGCGCGCCGCGCCCGTGCCGATCCGCATCGGCGACTGGAACCTCGACGGATACCCCGACCTGGCCGTGCTCACGGTGCCTGCGCGCGCGCGCCCGGGGCAGACGCGCGTGTCGCTCCTCGAGAACGTGCCGTGCCCGCGGCGCGGCGGCAGCGCGAGCTGCGCGGCCAGCGGCGCCGACGCGCGCCAGTTCGTGCGGGTGAACGGCACCGCACTCGACACACTCGAGTACGTGCGCAGCGTCTCGTTCGTCGACCTCGACGAGGACGGCACGCTCGACCTCGTGCTCCAGTCGCTCGAGCCCGCGAGCCTGCGCACGTCCGACGCGCGCACCGTCTCGTTCGTGCAGAACAACGTGTTCCACGACAGCTTCTTCCTCAAGACGCTCACGCTCAACGGCGCATGCGGCGCGCGCTGCGAGCCGCCCGGCACGCCGCCCTTCGCGCCGTGGGGCGGCGCCCTCGGCGGCGCCTCCTACAAGTTCGCCGTGCTCGACATGAACGGCGTGCGCCGCGCCCAGCAGGTCGGCCAGCAGCCCCAGACCGCGTACGAGGCGCTGCACCCGCCGACCGCATTCTTCGGCCTCGGGCGCACAAACAACTACGTCGAGTCGCTCTTCGTCGGCAGCACACGCCGCCAGACGCCCGCACACCTCGTCCTCGAGGGCGTCATCCCCAACAGCGAGGTCGTCGTCGTCCCGACCGGCCCGCCCGAGCTCTGGCGCCGCGAGCTCTTCCTTCACCCCGCCGACTGGATCCCCCTCGTGACACTCACGCTGAGCGCCCTCCTCGCCCTCCTGGGCGCCGTCGTCGGCATCCTCGACCTGCACGAGAAACGCGAGGACGAGCGCGAGCGCCAGCGCGCCGTGCACGCCATCAACTTCGATGCCCTGTAGATGCTTAGTCAGCGACCCCTCCCCCCCCACGTCGCGCGCTCCGCCGCCGCGCCCGCCGCCGATGCCGTCCTGGGCGCTCGTCCTGCTGGCGTGCCCTGTGCTGCTCGTCCTCACCGAGTATGTGCTGATTCCCCTGCTCGCACGCACCGTGCTCCACGGGCGCCTGCACATCGGCTCGGCGAGCCTCCTCCGCGGCGTGCACGACGTGCTATGGCGCCCGGCCGCACACCACCCCGTGCGGCACCTCGCCGTGCGCCGCATCGCGCTCGTGTGGACGGCGCCGCTCCTCTGGCGAGCGACCACGTCCCGCAGCCGCGTCCAGTGGCTGTGCCTGCGC